ATGCAGGTCCAAACACGCTCATAGCTACGGTTCATGCCATAGACCCTGATGGAGATGGTGTTGCTTACAGCATTACTGGAGGCAATCAAAAGGGAAACTTCATTATCGACCCTCAGAAGGGTAATTATGTAATTTCTGCGTCTTAGATCTTTGGTTCCTATATAGATTTTTGGCTCCTAGATGTTGCATGTGATTAGAGGTGGGGCAGAGCTTGTGTCTAAGCTGTTATAGTTATTCATGTGTGTTTAAAACACAGGTACATCATGTCTATTGCATCCTAGTCACTGGTTTCCTTGCTGTTGGGAATTGCTTCTCATCTGTATGTGGATGTGTTGAACTCATAGCATTTCTCTGCTGCTCTTAATGACTGATCTCATAGCATTCCCTATAACAGAAAGCAGGAATATGTGTCTTCTTGACTTACATTGCTCAAGGATTTCATTTGGTCCTTGCATTTAAGCAAACTGACCTAAGTCATGCTTGCCAAATGAATGTATGGATTTGGAATGCAATTATTCTTTGGTTTAATGCTTCTCTGAACTTTGCAATGCACTTCTTGCCTTAAAACAAAATCATCAAACATGCTCATATAAATGTGTATTTAAGATTAAAATGTGTTCAAAAATGCAAATTTTAATGATAAAATGTGGTAGTTCTTACTTGGAGTAACTGATGACTTTTCCTGATGTGGCTCCAGTCAAACTCTTCGCCTGCCTTTCTGGACTCTCCTGAGCCAGGGAGCTAATGAGAAGTAAATAAGATGCCACAGATCTGTCCTTCTCATCTTTGATACGTCTTATGGGTTCACTTACCATAAAAAATTAATTTTTTATGCAACTATTGCTTTTGCAATATTAATGCTCCAGATCTGAATATATTTCAGAAGCCGGAAACAGATGCCATCAAACGATGGTACAAGGAATTGACTCAAACATCTTCCTGTAGAGGTGGCAGCTTTCCACACCCCTTTATGGCTTGCTTTATGTTACAAATGCTTAGTGGTCTCATAATGCCACAGGTGTTAAGGTAAAACTGCCAGTGATGCAAACTATCCCACTGATGTTTACGCCATTTAATTGCTGCAGTTCTACCACCAAGAAACTGGTGCCCTATAGTGCTCCTATGCTGAAAGATCTGGCATCTCAACACCACTTTTTTCTTTTGGCTGGCCTTCCTCAACTGGGTGCCCTCCTTATGTTGGTCATATTGACTGGGTCTGATGTGAGTTGTAGTTCATAACATTTGGAGGGGTAGTAGATTAGGAAAGCTGAGCTAGACAACAGAATCGATGATGGGTCAAACTCCAAAACTGGGGATGGGTGGAATTTAAACACTAGATTTTGAGTGGAAGAACATCCTCCCCCGGCAAAGAATTCATCTCAGATTGGAGATGACACCAGGAACTGTGGGAAAGGGCACTACCATGATTCCCAGTATTCCTCTGATGTTACAGTGCTCATCTACAGCAGGACCCAGGGATGTCGGGAGCAACTTTTTCAGTGGTTCCCCATTTCCCTGTATTAAGGATGCCAAAGAATTCCCGCAAAACCAGGAACGGGAGTGGAAATTTCCCATTCCTGCTTATTTGAGCCATGTCCGGAATAGAAATCAATCCAGCGGATAAATTTGATATTCACTGTTGTTGGTGGTTTCAGTCCACAAAGGACATGTCACTGATGACACCCTGCCCCCTGCACTTTGTATTCCATTTTCTTTGCATTCAAATGAATGGTGTGGAACTGGAATAATGGTAACATCACTAATTCCATGGAATTTCATCACAGCCGTCAGCAAGATGAATAAGGTTTTTTTTTATCAGAAGCTGAGCTGCAGCAGAACAGAGACAGTACTGCATGCAGTGATTAAGGGGCAGAATGGAAGCTGATTCCTTCTTACATCCTGTGCAGCAGTATCCCATCCCCAAAACCCTGACACACCAATGCTGACGAGCCTTTCCCACTACCTCCTGCTGGGTGAGGTCTCTGCAGCATGAACTTGTGGACTGATTTGTTCCAAACCCAATCCAGAATTCACTTTTTGTTTTAACTTCCGGAAGAGGTTTCCCCAAAAATGAGGTGATGCTGAATTATTGGCTCATGAATGGCCTTGAAAATAAGCACATAAATGTGTGTTACAATTAAAAAGATCTGGTGAAGAATTGCACCCACTGGAGTTAGGTTTTATTTTATGAAATCTCAAGCCATGCTAAATCTGCTTGTCCTCAAAGTGCCTTAGCAAATTTTATTTTGCAGGAGATTTAACACATTTCCTCTGTTGGACAGTTTGCTTGGTTGCCAATTGTAGTTTTCTAGCTTTTGTGGAGATGGCCTTAGCATATATGCATCTTTTCTGTAACAGGTGTGAATTCTGTGTTGATTTTTGACTTTGGTACCCCCTGCTTGGTCAGACTCCCCAACATCTATGCTGTCTCCTTGGGCAGTTTTATTTTAATATAGCGCTGTCAATGACAATTTGCTTGATACCCTGAAATGCCAAGGTGAAGCTAAGACACATGTCAAAATACAATCAGTGAAGGCGAAGGCATTTGCAAGGGGAAGTGAGTGGCACTTGTCATCTTCATAACCGTCCATTTGCAAACGACACTTCTTATTACATCGGATAAATAAAAGACACGATAGGATGGTGCTGGCACAGGAATGAATGACATCTGCTCACTGCAGCTTTTTAAATAGCTGAAGTTTGCTTTGCTTTTTAAAACAAACTTGTTTTAAAAATGTATTTCTGATTTTGCCAGCCCTCATATGACCCATAAGGTTGCTGCAGCCCAAGGCCCAGTGGAACAGAAGCTCCTCAGAGCAACTGTCAGCTTTGCTCTTTAAAGACCGACAGAGGGTCAGAATGCAAATACAATATACCCGAAAAATTGCTGCAGGACTCAGATCTGGGACCTCCCCCCCACATCCAAGAATCATGTTCTCATTCAAACAGTAGTGGGCATTTTGTCCCTCTGTCTGAAACAAGGTGGTGGTACAATTTTAGGGGAAGGACTGGGGCAAACCAGTTCAGCATGTTTCTAGGATAGTGGGAGTACTTAAGGGGGATAACTGCAGTGGCAGCAGATATTTTGGGTTTCTTATTTTATTTTTTACAGTTTAAAAATGGCATTAGTTCAATCAATCAGTGAATCTATAAATTCACTGTAAATATTATACTCTGCACATAGAAAGCTAGTACAGTGGTGCCCCGCAAGACGAATGCCTCGCAAGACGGAAAACCCGCTAGACGAAAGGGTTTTCCGTTTTCAATGCGCTTCACAGGACGAATTTCCCTATGGGCTTGCTTCGCAAGACGAAAATGGCTTGCGAGTCTTGAGATTTTTTCCGCTCCCCCTTTTCTAAGCCGCTAAGCCTTTAATAGCCTTTAGCAGCTAATCCAAGCCGCTAAGCCTTTAATAGCCGCTAAACCGCTAATAGCGCTAATCCGCTAAGCCGCTAATGGGCTTGCTTCACAAGACGAAAAAACTGCTAGACGAAGACACTCGCGGAACGGATTAATTTCGTATTGCGAGGCACCACTGTATTTCAAGGATAGGGTTCAGCTAGAAGTTGTGCAAGGAAGTATTTTCATACACAAGGGGAGCATTCAAACAAGTTATTCCCTCGCCCTCTCCAACTAGAGTTGGTTTGGTCTGGCAAGAGCTATACTGCATAATTCTGCTGGACACGATTACCTGATATAGCTAATCATTTGGAATTTTGGCATGGCATGAAGCTACTGTTTTTGAAATTCAAACATTTGGCATAACAGCTTTAAAAGGTGTTCTGGGATTGATTTATATCCTACCCTTCATCTGGGTTGTTCAGGGCATGGTTTCCGACAATACTTCTGCAAAAGAGAACGACTGGCTCAGAGTCACTCTGGCAGCTTCATGGCTAAGCATAGATTTGCACCCAGGTCTGCCTTTTCCAAATCCAGTACCCTGTGACCTCACCAGCAGTTACAACAGCAAAATACATTCTGATTCCAAACTGTCCTCCCTTTGAAATCTTTCACAGGGTTAATCCGTCTTCGCTCAAGCCCGCTTCCTAGGCTACAGGGTCCCGAGTATGTCCTCAACATCACGGCTACAGATGACAATGCTTCTGGTGGACCTCGCTCTCTTACAAGCACCGCTTTGGTCATTGTGCATGTGGATGATGTCAATAACAACAAACCTGTGTTTCAGAAGGTAAACAGGCTGCCTTGTGTCATGTCAAATACTTGGAGAGAGCAACTATGAACCCCCTTCTGTTTTGGCACACAGCATTCATGAAGAGCTAAGAGTGCAGCTCCAATGAACTTTACAGTGGTACCTTGGGTTAAGAACTTAATTCGTTCTGGAGGTCTGTTCTTAACCTGAAACTGTTCTTAACCTGAGGTACCACTTTAGCTAATGGGGCCTCCCACTGCCGGTGTGCTGCCGGCACACGATTTCTGTTCTCACCCTGAAGCAAAGTTCTTAACCCAAGGTACTATTTCTGGGTTAGCGAAGTCTGTAACCTGAAGCATCTGTAACTTGAAGCATCTGTAACCCGAGGTACCACTGTATATTGGTGGGAGGGGGGAGCACGTAGAGTTTTCTTTCACACCCTGTGGTGGCCCCGGTGCAGGGCTGGAGGCCCGTGCCTGCTGTTTACATTACCCCAAAAATTAAAATAAAATAAAAGTTCCCATACTTTTCAAAAGATCACGGTCCTCCCCTTGGTTTCTGCATCAGATCTCCTGCTCAAGGACAAAACTATGCAGCTGAGATCATGATAGTTTGACCCTTATTTGTTGAGTGACTGGAGTTGATTGCCAATATTCTGGATTTTGCAGTGTATGTCAAGTTGTATTTAAGCGTGTCTTTGCATTATTATCATTGTCCTTATTTTTGCCAGTGCCAGCATTATCGTGAGCATGCCTTTGTGCTGGAAAACCAGCCAGTGGGAACCTTCGTGTTGCAAGTGGAGGCAACAGACGCAGATGAAGGGTCCAATGGCCAAGTGAAATATGGCTTGATGCACAGAGAGGGGACTCTCCCTGCTTTTAACATCCACCCTGACACAGGTAAAGCCATTGTGTTGCAGCTTCATTGGGCCTAGTGAGAATACAGAGGTGCCAGGTGACCGGGCCTTTAAAGGATAAAGTTATCAAGCTGAAAAATCCACAGACAGGCAGGAATGGAAGCATCTGTCAATTTTGCTTCTCTCACCTCCTTATTTTTCCAATCTTAAAATTCAGCTCCCCATTAGTTTTTGCAGCAATTTGCACTTAGGAAAAAAAATCTACATGAAAATTATTCAGCATTTTAGTGTGAATTTCTCCTAATAAACACGTTTTTGTATGCAGCTGTGACAGACGTGCACATTTTTTTGCAAGAAATTCCGCCTAATATAATGCAGTTTTGTATGTACTTTTCACTATCTTACTTATCTCTGCAAACCTTTCTCTGATATATGCATTTTTGTAAATATTGCTTGGAGAACTGCATAGCAAAATTCAAATAAGTGCTAATTTTGAAGGAAGTCTGTGTTTTGGAAAGTGTAGGTTTGATAAATTCAGCTTTAGGTTGGTGCCTTTAGTGTGAACAACCAATGTGTCACCCCCCAAAAATGAGCAGCTTTTTGAGTTCTTCGGAAGGTTACACATAGCAGATGGTAGTGGAAAGATGGGGTCAGATATTATTTGATGTTGAAGTTTACGTTTAGTCACAGTCTTTAGGTTAAAATGGTTGGTGATAATAAAGGTATTACCCAGTTGTGGAGTTTGGATTTTTTCTAGTGGACCGACAGCCATTTACATTTGCCCTGTAATAGTTTGCTATTTACCTAAAGATACTCCTGCTGAGTTGCAGGTGAGCAGGCTGCATCTCTGTATCTCACTGATGGGTTGTAGATAGGGGTGGGGGAGAAATTCACTTCGGTTCACATTTTGATGCAGACCTACCCAATTCCCACTTCCTGTAACAATATGTGAACTGAACTGCAGCCAGCTTTCCAAAATTCACACTTCTCTGAATTTTGTGGTGCGGTGAATGTGTACAAAAATGTGTGTGTTCAGGAAAAGTCTACATAAAATGCTCACATTTGTTAAAACAGCGTACAAAATTGTATGTTGCATTTTAAATTATTTGTAACCTGCCCTGGTACCTTTTAAGGCAGGCATGTCCAAAGTCCATTTCGGGGGCCTAATCCACCCTGCCGGTTGGTTTAACCCAGCCCCTGTGACAGTTTATTTCCTTTGGTAAAATCCCCCCAAAAGCTCAACAACAAAAAAGGTCAACAACTTTGGTCGGCCCTCGCACATGTTCACTTAATCAAATCTGGCCCTCTTTGGAAAAAGTTTGGACACCCCTGTAGGTGAAGAACAGGGATGATGATGATGATGATGATAACGACAATGTTGTGATGATGATGATGATGAAGAATTCGCTTGGGAAAATATTCAGATAAAGCAACATTGCAAACAAAAATGTGCACATTAGGAGAAATTTGTACTGAAATGCTAGTGAATTTTCATGTATCTTTTAAAAAAAGAAAAGAAAATAGCAAGTTGATATGGAAATATGGCAAACTGAACTTATAGATGGGGGGAAATGAGAAACAGAGAGGAAAGGACATTGACAGATGTAGATGAGTTTTAGTTCAGTTTACATCTTTCTTCCAGCACTCAATAACTGAAACTGCAAGAAAAAACAGCGGGCAGTAAACCCTCCTGCTTCTTCCCTCATCTCAGTCCTTGGTTAAATACACAGTATTGAATTATTTCTGCTTGTGGTCTTATTTTCAGGCATCTTGACAACACTTCAGATATTTGACCGGGAGAAGCAGCGAGAGCATCCTATTACTGTGACAGCCACGGACCAGGCGGCCGAGCCCCTCATTGGGATCTGCCAGATCAACGTTGTGGTCTCGGATGTGAATGACAATAGCCCCAGATTTGAAAACACTCATTATGAATGTAATTGCGAATCCTTGGATAGTGTTTCAGTTCCCCCGATTGCGAGCTTACCTGAGGTCTAAGATTTATTGTGTGTGTTTCTGGTTTGGTTTTCATATGTTCCCCCCACACCACCCCTGCTTCCTACAGATGAATTGTCACTTTTTCCTTTTTAGATTGGTTACATTACCGTTTATTTAATATCCTGCTTTTCAGCCATAAAGGCTCCTGAAGATAAGCAGCTACATACAGATGCAACAATGCAAATACAAATGATACAAATTCAAAATATTTCAGAAGTTGTTTTTTTTTTAAAAAAACCCCCACAAATCCATCCATGTCCCTGCCTTAACAAAAATGTTAGAGAATACAATAATACTTAAGCAGAATTTTGGCCTTATAAGAGTCCCAGGTGTGTGTGTGGGGGGGAAGCGGGGGGGGGGGGAGCTGGTGCCCCTGGATGGTTCCAGCAATGGCTCCCCTCTCTGCTTATTGCGATCTACATACTTAACTCAGGACTATTATATATAGGGAAACAATAGCAGAGCAGATGCTCTTCTACAGGAATAGCAGGCCAATCCAAACCAGCCCTCCTAACCTCTGCTCTCCTCCTCCAGGGGAATGGTGCTGGTGTCTGCCCACTATTGTGTATCTCCTTCTTCTGCCCCCCAAACCTGTGGGCAGGCAAATGTGCCACTGAACATAAAAAACATAAGAAGACCCTGCAAGCAATAAAATCAGGGCACTTCTTCACCAGCTGCTTTTATTTTTCACGGAAAATCTGCAGAGTGTTGCCTGCAAATAGCGTTGAGCTCAGATGGCTTGTAGCATTGCTCTGCCCCACTGAGTTAATGAAATGCACTTTCCTAGACTTTCTGAGAGAAGACACGAGTGTTGGGACGAGCTTCCTCCGTGTTGCAGCCCATGACGACGACTACGGCTCCAACGCTTCCATCACGTATTATGCAGCCGGTGGGAAAACGAAGTACTTCCAGGTCAATCCTGCTACAGGCTGGGTTTATGTCGACCAACCCTTGTTACAGGTACGTTGTGAGTTGCCTTTGGTCTGTGGCCAGATGTCAGCTGGCGGCATCTGCAGATGGTAGCTGGAGCAAGATGCCAAACAGGGAGACATGCAGCACTGTGGGTCCCTTTCTCTCCTGGCATAAATTAGTGCCACCCTGATGGCTGCACTTCAGTTGAGAGGGGCTTCCTCCTCCCCCTCCTGCTGAATGAATGATTACTTTAACCATAAAGCCATTCACAGCTGTCATGTCAGACTGATAACTCTTCTTGTGCCTTGGTGGGAAAAGAAGCAATAAACAGTTTTGACAGGTCATATCCGGGAGAGTCGGTTTTTAAGTTTACCGTCATTCAAAACCTTCTGAAGTTCTGCAGCGAGGAATCTTAGGAACTTCTGTGAACGGAACGAAATTGTGCTTATGATTACTATGGTGACATACAGATTTAACAGTTGCAGGGTTTCCCCCCCCCAACCTCAAAAAGTAGATTCTTTGGTAAGTAGAAGCTACAGGAGGCCCTAGCAGGCAATGCATGTTTGGTGGGTTGCCAGAAAAGGATTGGAAAGACAATGTTCTACCCACAGGAAGCTCTGGAGTGCTTGTGAGGCTCTAAACAGACGATGGTGGTGGGTTTTGAATCTTTCTCCGCTACTGTACTGTACAGTTTTACTAAAAATGAAGTTGATTTTTCAGGGATGATACACGGAAGTTGTTTATCATTGAACTGGAGTACAGTGGTACCTCAGGTTAAGAACTTAATCGTTCTGGAGGTCTGTTCTTAACCTGAAACTGTTCTTAACCTGAGGATGGGTGAGGGAGTCTGTCATGGGGAGACTCTGAAGGGATAGTGAGAGGAGACTATAGAGACATACTGGGCCTCATATCTGAGGTTCTCGACCCATGTTACAAGCATTTACCTGGGAGGATATTCCATAAAACCATATAGTGTTTATACTGTGCTTTGTGCAGAGAGAGAGAGAGAGAGAGAGAGAGAGAGAGAGAGATGCTATTTCCACCAAAGGTTTCAGGGGCGGGGGAAGCAACAGCTGCTTTTTCACGGGAAATAAGAAAAATTGAGGAGTACTTTGGCTCTGTCACTGGCGCTATTTGGAAGATGAAAGTTCTGAGCAGAAATAAAACATGATAACTGTGATACCGACAAAGCTGAATAGCTTCGATTTTTGTCTTTAAAAAGAATCACTCCCTCCTGAAGCAATCCTTTTCTTCCCTTGCCCAGAAATCCTTTATAACTCAACAAATCATAGCAATGGATGGAGGGAACAGGAGTAGCAAGGTTGAGCTTAGAGTTACCATCACCAGTGCAAAGAACCAGCCCCCTCAGTGGGAGAGGGACAGCTATGAAGTCGTCATTCCAGAGAATACAACAAGAGATACTTCCATTGTGGTAAGTTGGGTTTTCTTTTTTTAAAGGAAACAGTTGTGCAGTATTCTTGTAACTAGTATATTAAATTAGCACGCTGTAAAGAGTCAGTGCGGTGTAGTGGTTAGAGTGTTGGAAACCAGGCTTCAGATCCCCACTTGACCATGAAGCTCACTGGGTGACCTTAGGCCACTTAGCAACCTTTTGCCATTCAGAGCTGATGCTGCTGGGCTAGATGTACCATTTGTTTAACAGCAGAAAGGGGCATAGTATATTCCAGGTATGGGGAACCCCCCACCTGTGGTCAGGGATGATGGGAGTTGGAGTCCAACAACATCTGGAGGGCCACGCGTTCCTCTTCCTAGTAGAATATTATTTATGCTGGCCTGATTTAACATGCAAATAAGTGTCAAGTCACATTAGATGTGGTTAAAATCCACGGTGGGCTCTTTTAAGCTTTGTTTGCTTAAGTTTCTTTGTATACAAAGAACTGCATGTGCTTCTGTAAGCATTTTAAATGTGTATCTTCTGAAAACGATCACTATCTGCTGAAGCAATCCTTTTCTTTCTCTGGTTTTGAATTGTGCAGACAATTAAAGCCACGTCTCCCCTTGGCGACCCACGTATCACATACAATCTTGAAGAGGGGCTGGTTCCGGAGACCAACATGCCAGTCCGATTCTACCTGACTCCCAACAGAGATGATGGTTCTGCATCCATCCTCATAGCTGAGCCTTTGGACTATGAAACCACCAAGTCCTTTTTGTTGAGGGTACGGGCCCAGAATGTGGCCTCTGTGCCACTTGCTGCATTCACCACCGTCTACGTTAATGTGACAGGTGGGTAATGTTCTGGTAACGGGGACAAAATGCCAATAGCATACCACTTACCGAGCAGAGCCCCTTTCATTCCTGCTTCTGATTGCACTGTCCTAAATACAGGAACGTCACTTTGGGTGTGCTAGAAGATAGATTGCTGATGTAGACAGGTTTTGGTGGGTGCTTGCTAGCTGTGGAACTCCCTTCAGAAGACAGAACAAGTTCTGGTCATTTTTTCCAAAGTTGCGCTTTTTCTTTGGGTTGTCTTTCAATGAACAATACTAAGTTGCCGTGATGCTCAGCTTCCATTCTCCTCAATATGTCACAGCTGGGTGTTGTGTAAGTAAACCCCAGGCTCATGCGCTCTCCGTAAACCCAACCCTCATGCCCTTCCCCACTTCGTCTTTCTCGACAAACCCTAGTTTGCGATCACATCTGTACAGGAAAACTGTTGTCAATGCAAAGCAGCACAGGCAGCAGCATTCAAACCACAGTTTCCAGCTCTTGTTTGCAGGCAAAACACAGTCTGGGTAAACCATACTTTGTCTGGTTCACATGTAACGGAAAACTCTGTTTTACTGTGAAAAAGGAAGTGGGGGAGGCTGTGGGTGCAGGGAAGATTTGAATAAGCCTGTGGCACCTTCCCAGCCCTCCAAACCATTGGGCATAAGACCCTGGGTCTCAAGGCACTCTGGCTTGCAAGACCCCCTAGATAAAGCAATATAATTTTTAAAACCCCTTAAGCATGCAAATGGTTATATTACATGGGCTGACTGCTTGAATTCTAAATACGTTCTTAGATGTCAACGACAACGTCCCTTTCTTCACCTCCTCAATTTACGAAGCTTCTGTAACGGAAGGAACAGAAGTCGGGACTTTGGTTTTCCAAGTCTCTGCCACTGACCTCGACCTGGGCCAGAATGGTGAGGTAAGCCAGAACTTGCAAGATTCAGCATCAGACAACAGTGGAGTCTCTTTGCACAGGTTTTTTCAATGGGGAACACCAGCCCCTCACAGCTCCCTGACAGGTGTAATTGTATCTGGGGGCGGGTGGGCCAGTTTATTTCCAGCTTTTGCATGGGCTCATCCATCTACATTTTCTATCCCTTTTCTGCATTAACCCATGATATCTTTTTTAATGGACTGAAGATTTATATTCTATACAAAATAAGTATCTAGTTATCATCTCAGTGTGTGAAATTCTAAACACACGTAATCCTAAAATACATTTTTTTGGGGGGGAGAGGGGAGTTTGGTACATTTCTAAAGCTGAGAAATGTATTACAGAATTTGGAGAATAATTACATTCCAAACTACATTCCTGTCCACATATTAGTCTTCAAGGTGCTAATTAGGTCCATTGGCATGAAAAATGCAGACTGAATGAAATTCTCTTTTGTCTGCCCCTGTATGAGACAGGCACGCATTGTGTTCACACATTATGTTTTCCTGTGTGCGCTCGAAACATCCTAGGTGTGCACCTAAAAATACAAAGTGTGAAATAGCTTTACAAGCCCATCACATCGAGCACTCGGAGACTAAAATGCAAAACTTGCCAGTGACAGAACTTGATGGCTTATGGCTGCAGTGAGGGGTAGCTGATACCAGACTTGGTTCAAGACTCACTGTGGGTGAATTGCGTGGTATTATTTCTCCTAAGAGCATAAGATGGTGCATTTATCTCCCCTTGCTTTTGAGGTCAAGTGCATGGAAACGCTTAGGCTAGGGTGTTTGTGTACATGTGTTCTGTCAGGTATATTTTGCTTACCCAGGACGTGTCCAACGTAGACAAAAATAATGCCTGATGTTCATTGTAGCCCTTCTCTCCCTCAACCTTTCAGATCACTTATTCTCTGCTACCTGACCGCAGCGGCGACTACACGTTCTTCCGCTTGGATTCGAAAACGGGTTCCATCTATACCGCCTCCGTGTTTGACAGGGAAAAGAAGGCGTCGTACCTCTTGGAAGTCAAGTCCACAGATGGCTCAGAATCAGCTCGCCCTGGAAAGCATGGCCAGCCAAATACCGGTGAGGTGTAGTGGTGGAAACGCTTGTGGCATCCATTTTTCTTTTTGTTACACGTTTCTCCGAAATAGGTTTTGGCACTGAAGCAGCACCTTGGCTGCCCTGACTGATGGTCTTTGTCAGGAGAGAGATGGGGAGGAGAAATACAGTTTTGCTGGTTCTTCTTTCCCTGTCTGTGGCTTGTGGCACCACTGGACGTGGTGTTCTTCTTTAGCGACTCAAGGAGGTGGGAATTGGAGGTCCTGTACTATGGGGGCCCCACTCCTAGGGCGGCTGCCAGAAAGTAGGACAAGGAGATGGTTGTTTGGCTCCCTGGTTTTTGAGCCAACCCAACTTGAACAGGAAATAACTTAGTTATCTGTAAAGCTCTATAAGGCTTAGGCCCTGGCTATCTGTATTCTCCCATACAAACCTGCTTGGACTCTGATATTTCGGGGGAGGCCCTTCTCTTAGTCCTCTTCCCCCTCAGAGGGGGAGAAGGCCTTCTTGATGGCTGCTCCGACTTTGGAACTCCCTTCCTAGAGAAGCTAGACTGGCTCCATCATTCTCCTTCCGATGGCAAGTGACAACCGTTTATTCTAACAGGCTTTTTTTGGAATTGACTGTTTTGAAAGGAGAGTCCTTTTAAATGGAGCTGTGCTGCTTTCATTATCTGAATTTTGATAGATTTCTTTTCCATTCTGTTAGAGTTTAATTGCTTTTAAACAATCGCCATTTTATGTTTTTTAACTTTCTGGATTTATTCCATGTGGTTTTCATTTGAGTAAGCAGCCTTGAGTGCCCGGTCTGGGAGATAGGTTGGATATAAATAAATAATCAAATTAGAATATAATCACTGGTGAACTTAGCTGTTCTGAAGCAAAGGGCTAAAAACCCACACTATCGACTTTCAGGATAGGAAAGCGATAACAAAACATTTACAGTTCCAGTATTAGGCACCCGTTATTCACATGTTATCTGCTTAAACAAATGGAATGTGACATTCATGTGATATCCGAGCACTTTTTTTTTTTTGAGTAATGTTAGTATTTTAAATTGTCCACAACCCTAAGGCTCTGTTGCTGTATTGTCTGCACTATTCGTCTTCATTTAACGTGAGGCGAGACAGTTTCAGGAATTGCAGCTGACAGAAGTGGCACAGCTGAGTATTTTAATCTCTTGTTCCTCATCTCTCCAGACACCGCCTACGTGCGCATCTTTATCAGCGATGTCAACGACAACAAGCCCATATTCACCAAGAGTGTCTATGAAGTTAATGTGGAGGAAGACCAAGACGTGGGATCAACTGTCACCACCGTCAGCGCTAATGATGAAGACGAAGGTAAAAGCTTCGGGATTCCCGGTGGCGGCACCTGAAATATTAATGAGTTAATTTTTCCGGAGCGTCGGGACCGTCTTGTGGCAGCTCCAGGAAGGGGGAAACAGGTCTTTTATCTCTCAACATTCCGTTTTGAGCTTGACAGGTGCTGAGCACCTCCTTTACGAAGCCCCCGCGAGGCCCTGGGGCAAATAATTATTTACTTTAGGCACATTAAACAAAGTTAGGGCTGGGGAAGGATGACTTTGGGTTTGCCATATGGCAGTATGCATCTCTGATACGGGAACGAGAGCAAGGAAGCTGGGGGAAGATCAGGCAGGGCCCCTGAGCTTCGATGCAGTGATTAGATCTACTTTTCCGCAGTAAGCGATTTGCTTCTGAATGCTGCCCTTATGGCAGGGTACCTTCCAGATGTTGTTGGACTACAAGTCCCATCAACGCCTGCCAGTGTGCCCAATGGTCAGGCATGATGGGTGTTGCTGTTCACGAACATCCTGAGGGCAGCGCATTGGCTACCCCGCCTTACGGAATGTCAGGCAGAAAGGAGTGTCTCATCGTCATCTTCTTCATCACCATGATCCTGGTTTTACAGAAAGCATATTTTCCATTTCCCCACTTTTAGGAACTAATGCAAAGTTAAGGTACCAGATAACAGCCGGGAATACCGGAGGAGCGTTTGATGTTGAACCAGAAACAGGAGTCGTCTTCATTGCGCAGTCACTAGATTACGAAGAAGCCCAGTTGTATGAACTCCACCTGTTGGCTTCTGATGGGAAATGGGAGGATTACGCCATTGTAATCATCAACGTTGTGAATAAAAATGACGAAGCTCCCGTTTTCTCTCTCAATGAATATTACGGAAGTGTGATTGAGGAACTGGATGGCCTTCCGGTCTTCGTTCTTCAGGTATATTGGGAATGGCTCATCCAAATAACAGTGAATGGTTACAGTGCCCCAAGAGTTGGTGTCACACAGCCCCACTTAGTTGCTCATGTTCCAGGTGCGGAAGCCAGTGCCTTAATACCTGTGTATACCTGGCTTCAACTCTTCAGTTACTCCTCCCTGGAGTGCACAGGATGCCTAGTTGTGGTGCAGCAGTTCACAAATTGGGCTCAACCAAGAACCTCATGGTGCCTTATAGTTGTGTTTTCAATGCTGTTTGGTATCTTGACTTGATAGCTGCTTTGAAAATAGGTGGGATAAAAGCTTTTTTAAAAATAAAAACAAATGAACTTTTATCTCGCCTACTTTCCAAGGAACTCAAGGTGGCTATCAAGTCAAAGTACCTAAACGATACTGAAAATACAAAACAATTCTCAAGGTAAGTCAATGATAAAAGCCACAAAAATAAACCAAAATCCTCTGTCCCCAGGGCTGGGAGTCCTGTGGGCTTGCAGATGTGGACCACCAGCTCCCATCAGCCCCAGGCAGCATGGCCAATGGGCAGGGGTAATGGAAGTTGTAGTCCAGCAACTTTGAGAGGGTCCAAGGTTCCCATCTCTGATACAAGGTCATCACCTTGTATGATGTATAGATCAGCCTGTGGTGGTGCTAGAAACTGCAGCCCAAAAGTGATTCGTGGCTTTGCTGCTTGCTTAAAGTGGCTGCCTCTAGTAGTGAACCAGCCCTTAGTCGGCCTATTTGTTGGTGGCAACTTGGTTGGGGTTCTCAGCTGTGCACCTGGGGTTTCCAGTTTCCAGTACAGAAGGGTAGAATGATGGCCAATTTCTTCTTCCGCCAATGGATAAATCTGGACATTTGCACAGGTTGCACCTTAACAAACTGATTCCATTGATGTGCACGGATTACATTCTTGCCAATTTCCTAAATCTAAAACTTGAATCAGGTTGTTTTGTGACGATAATGTGGCTCTGATTCTCACCTTCTTAGATATGCTGGTGCTTCACATGCAGTCTGAATGCCAGATGCTTATTTAGGATAATAGCTTCAGTTTGAAAGATGCTGCTGCCAGCATTTGATAAGGATACTGTTTGTTTTCAGCCTATATGTAGTACATCGTTTTTATTTGTTGTTCTGTGTTGATATATGGTGCTGAATTTATGATCTGTGGTTACTTGATCTATGCATCTTAAACTTTGTTCTCCATAGGTTGTAGCAAGTGATCCTGATAGCATCTTGGATGGAGGTGATCTGAGATACTCCTTGCATGGACATGGGGCAGATGATGTATTTGCTATCGATGAGAACACAGGCAGCATTTATTCCCAGAAAATGTTAGACCGGGAAGAGCGAGCCCTTTGGAGATTTGTTGTGCTGGCAACAGATGAAGGAGGGGAAGGGCTTACTGGCTTTGCAGATGTGATTATAAACATCTGGGATATAAACGATAATGCCCCTGTGTTCACCTGCATGCCCAGTGATTGCAACGGGAGTGTCTTTGAAAGCTCACCTGAAGACACGTTCGTCATGGAGATGGCAGCTGTAGACTTGGATGACCCGAACGTGGGTCTCAATGCAATTTTGACATACCGTATAATTGAGAATGTGAAAAATGACTTGGATATGGACTTGTTCAAAATCAATCCCAGTACTGGCAACATCTATGTGGCGGAAGGGATGTTGGACAGAGAAAAGATGGAAAAATATTTCCTTACCGTTGAAGCAAAAGATGGTGGAGGACTGGCGGGGACAGGCACAGCAACCATCTGGGTTGCAGATGTAAACGATCATATCCCTAACTTCATGCAGGAAGTTTGGCATACTGTAATCCCCGAAACCATCGCCGTCAACTCAGAGGTTCTGGAAGTGTCGGCAACTGATGAAGACAGCGGGGAAAACGCTCACTTGACATTCAGCATTATTGGTGGGGATCCAGAACAGAAGTTTTACATTGAAAGCCACAAGGAAGGCCACCATGCTACCATCAGGCTGAAAAAGGCCTTGGATTATGAGCAAATCCACGAAAGGTGGTTCAACCTTACAATCAAGGTGGAAGACCTAGATTTCTCCAGCACTGCCTTTTGCTTGATCGAAGTAGAAGACCGTAACGACCACAAGCCGGTTTTCAGTTCTCAGTTTGTCCAGCTGAGCCCTTTCTTTGAAAACATACCTGTGGGAACCACCATAATCACTGTGACGGCCACGGACGAGGATTCTGGTTTGAATGGGGATACTGAATATTCCATCCAGGTGGATTCTGATCCAGCCGGACAATTTGCGATAGACCAGGATGGCCACGTGACCGTGGCCAAACCGCTGGATCGTGAGGTCATTCAGGAGTACCGTCTAATAATACAGGCTTCTGATCAAGGCCTACCTGCCCAAACAGGAAGTGTTACGGTATTGGTTGCCTTGCTGGATGTCAATGACAACGGGCCAAGGTTTGAGGCCCCATATATGCCTGTGGTCTGGGAAAATATGCCAGGGCCTCAGCTGGTTTCCATGAGCCCTGCGTCTCCTCTCCTTTGGGCTTTTGACCCAGACAGTGATGAGAATGGGCCACCTTTTATGTTTTTCTTGCCACCAGATTATCAGAATTCTTTGGATTTCTCTCTTACCGACAATGGAAATAATACTGCAACGATCACTGCTCTGAGGTCCTTTGACAGAGAGAAGCAGAAGCTGTTCCACCTCCCCATTATTATAACCGATAGTGGGAGCCCCCCTGTGAGTTCCACAAACATACTGACCATAACTATTGGTGACGAAAATGACAACAGCCATGAAGCTGGCCATAAAGTGATCTATGTTTATGTACACAGAGGTGGGTATCGCGTAACCTATGGGCATATTTGTACAGATGTCTTGACATGCTTCAACTGTCATCTCCTCTCCTGTAGTCAGAGCAGCTTAAACAGAGAGCCAGTTTACACTAGGGCTGGTCAGAAATGACCACGAGGAATTCAGAAACGTTTTACCCAGCTTGAAATTTGCAGTTTGAACCCCCCTCTTTTTCTTTTCAGAGAGGAGAACTCCTTTCAGTGGAGTGGAGAATCAGAGTTCCAACAGGATAAGTGGGCACCATTTTTATGTGCGTTTTTGGAAAATAAAAATGGCTTCCACAATGAAAAAGGACTTTGCCGCTCACTGGGACTGCCATTATAGCAGTTTGATCATATATGTGCAGGTCAAAGCTTGGTAGGCAATGGGTGGGGTGGGTAGGAATCGCGCTTCCTCCTCAACATAGGCTAATGGATGGCATTTTAGCTGACTGTTCCAGACTATTAACCAGCCATGGAATGATTGGTCCAAACTAGCTGAATGACTGCGGCCAAATGAAAATTTCAACTTGTGGGTCATCCTTGCTAACAGCTTGTGAATGGGTGGGTAGAATGAGAAAGATAAGTGACTGACTGAAACAGACTTATATCATGAAGGGTGAGAGATAGATGGGGAAATTGAAAATGTCCTGGTGGTGCAGATTTGAGTTGCAGCAAGCAAGCTGCTTCTCCTCACCACAGTAGGTACTATTAAAAGAGCAACTGGTTTTCAGTGACTGTTTCTGACCTGGAAACGGCTTCCACAATGAAAAAGGACTTTGCCGCTCACTGGGACTGCCATTATAGCAGTTTGATCATATATGTGCAGGTCAAAGCTTGGTAGGCAATGGGTAGGCATTTGATGCCTCTTTCCATCTAAGGAAAGATTCTGTTAGTTGCAGCCATGATGCTTCTTCCTATAAATCCTAAACCGAAGAGATGGAAAACGTTCTGTACATGCTCAGTGTGAAATGGCAAAGATTTTATATATTTCATTTCTTTAAAAGGCCCTTTGCAGCAATTTGCAAGGCAGCATGCAAACCCCATGTGCGATCAGCTAAAGCAGGCACCCCCAAACTCGGCCCTCCAGATGTTTTGGGACTACAGTTACCATCATCCCTGACCACTGGTCCTGTTATGATGGGAGTTGTAGTCCCAAAACATCTGGAGGGCCGAGTTTGGGGATGCCTGAGCTAAAGGGTGGAGCAGGGGAGTAACACTCCAAATGCTTACTTCATTTTTTTAAAAAGTGAACATTGTGTCAATGGCAAAGATCTGCAGCATGTCTGTTCAGAAACAAATGCAGTTCAATTCAAATGGGCTTCCTCCCAAGCAGGCAAGGTGATTCAGAATAACGAAATAATGTTACCCTGCATGCATTTGATATTGCAAAGTAATTTGTGCAGTCTGCAGGCAGAAGCGGTTGTCCTGGACGCAGGTTACATAGAACTGCCTCCTCCTGTGTTGCCTAGGCAATCAGACAAAGCAAGCTGCTAGCTTTCATATTACTTTTGTCCTCATTAGCCAGTTCCCTCAGGCAAGGACTCTTCCGTGCCCTTTCCCCCACTTTTTTTTTTTTTGCTGATTAGAACCAGCGAAACAGCAGGGGATTTCCTAAACAACATGGAATCAAGTTTGGCAAATCCATAGGAATGCTTTCCCTTGAATTAGAATCTCTGGGGTTGTATCCAGTGCTAACTTCTACTCTTGAGTTTCCCCATTGAAATTAATGGCCACAACTCATTTAGGCCTGTTAACGCCACTTTAAAACAGGAACAAGCTTCTAGCGCTTATGGTTATGCAGTCTTGTGTTCTGGTCTGGTGCCAGATCCCGCAGAGAAAGAGGCAAGTGAGCAACTTGCTGAGAGGCAGGTTGGGAGGGAAAATGGGGCCTTTTAAGCCTCTTGTCTCCATATGCCCCTCCTCCAGGCTCCACCCCCTTGCGGAGAACTACAGAGCTTTAAAGGGCCAACCCTCTGTCCTGAAGACAGGTGCTCCTCCTCCATCCCATTGCCCCCCTCCTGGTATGCTCCCTGCCCTGCCAGGCTGGTGACTTGGGCTGGGAGGCATCTGGTTCTTTGTACTTAGCGGGAGGTTTCTGTGAGGGTCCAGGCACTAGGCCCTGGCAGTTTGAGTGGTTCCTGCCCAGCTACTTCAGGCGCACTTGTATCCCTATATTATGCAGTCAGCTCTGAGCCCTGCTCCCCTTCTGTTGTCCATGCAGCCTCTGACTTTGTGTTTGGATCTTCTTTCTTCCTTGGCGATCACTCTTAGCTGAGTAAGATTGTCTTTCCATAAACATGATTTTAACAGTTGAGTCCGTAAGTGACTGTGGAGACCAATTCTGGATCCACATGTCTTTCCACAGTGGGGACATAGGTTTCCAGGCGGGAGTTGATCACGGTCTGGGTCACTGCTAGATTCAAGGGCCATGAAGTGCAGACGAATGGAAAAGGTTGTGTGGCAGTGGCTGGTCAAATCTCAGAGATTGGGAGAATGAGGTGTATAGTATAAATACAAATTGGGATTTTGCTGAGCTGGACCAAGTTGCTATCTACTCCAGCTAGCAGCTCCTCTCCTAGAATTTGGGCTGAGTCTTCCCCTGCTCCTGTTCCCAGAAAGCCTTTTAAACTGGAGAAAGCAGGGATTGAACCTGGGATGGTACGCAGAGCCGTTGCTATAGAGCTGCACTCTTCATTGTTGCTTTACTTCCGCTAGTTGCATTTGAGGGATAAAACCCACAAATGCAGATGTTCTCTCTCTCTTTTTGCAATATATTCAAGCACTAGAAATCAGCTTTATCTGGGGAAGAGTTTTTAGTTAGCTCTGCACAGAAATCTTATTTTATTTAAGACCAGAGCGTGCCCAATCCTATATATGCAGTATTTGTGGATGAGCTTCCCAGCTGCACTTACATGAAAGATCAGAGTACTTGCTATTGCATTACTTGAAACGTCTTGGATCATAACCTTTGTGAAAGCCAAGCAGCAATAAAAGTGACAAATGCAGCAATAAATGCTCTGGGATATCAAGCTCCTCGGAAAAAAGGGGGAAAAATTAATGCAGATTTATTATAATTTATCTCAACAGGAAAATGGTCGACAACGGTGCTTGGGGAAGTGTTTGCACCTGACCAGGATGACTGGGACAATAAAACATTTGTCTCTGAAGGAAAAATGCACAAGTGAGGATTGTATTTGTGTCAAGCAGAGCAATATTTAATATTTATGCTTCTGTAATTATTTTCTTACGTTTTGTTATGTGTGCTTTGTATATATAAAGCCTAGATTATTGCTTGGTACGGAGATGGCAATCTATTAAACTTGCACTTGCCATTTATTGCGGGTTACAATTGGGACAATCTGTCGTGTCACTGATGCAGCCGCATTTGCGCCATGAAATGCTGAGACCCCCTTTACCAAAGGCGTGAAGCAGGGTTAATGCAGGGCACCGTATGTATAGCATCCCAGCATTTTGCACGGCAGTTGTGTGTCCCCCCCACATCAAGGTTGGCAGAAGTGTGAATACAAAATAAAAAAATTCCTTCCAGTAGCACCTTAGAGACCAACTAAGTTTGTTATTGGTATGAACTTTCGTGTGCATGCACACTTCTTCAGATACCGGCACACAAAAGCTCATACCAATAACAAACTTAGTTGGTCTCTAAGGTGCTACTGGAAGGAATTTTTTTATTTTGTTTTGACTGCGGCAGACCAACACGGCTGCCTACCTGTAACTAGAAGTGTGAATGACAAATGTGCATCCTTCAACACTCAAATAATACATGCTTTGTGGAGCCACACACATCAGTGATCCCAATGAATGTCCTTGAGTGTTTAAGAAGGCATGTTGGCCCTCTGCCGGAAGCCAGGTCTGACATCAGCAGGGCATCGGCTGAGGACCACCTCCCAGCAAAAGGCCTGTTGCCAGCCCCTGGAAGCCTTGTGGGTGCTATTCCGTCTCCTGGCTCTTGCCTGCCGTCTCTGAATTTGCAAATGCTTACCCCTTCTTGGCCAGGGACGGGGTCCCTCGGAGCAACTTGCCAGTGGACGAAAGTAGGAAGAGCAAGGAACGTAAATGTTACCTTTGTAAGGGGCCCAGTTTCTGTATACACTCTCAACTCTCTCTCCCGCCCCCAGTCCTTCATTCAGGGAAACGAGAGGCATTTTCAGAATTCAAGGACAAATTCCAGTCAGGCAAAAACTCAAGGAAGGGTGCAAAGCAAGGGTTAGTGAGGGGTGTAGTGTAGGGAGAACCTGAAGGGCCAGAAAGAGAGGCATGGACTCCTGCGGTTTCCCAGTCTTCCCCTGGGCAGTGGAGATGTAGATGTTACGTAATTTGGGTATGTGGATGATACGTTAATGTAAGTAAAATCTACAATGAGGAAGTAGAGCTTCTCCCCCATCCAGTTGCCTCTGCAGGAATAATCCTTGTCAAGAAGACATTTACATCAGAATTGGTCACTGCTTAGCCACAGAGAGTATACGGAAGCAAAATCAGGTGCAGGGAGGCTCACCTTCCACTTAAATCTCCCTGTGTTAACAAGAACCAGAGAACGCAGCTAAATAAATGCCCATAGAATGTTTAAATAAACTTGGCCTGGGTGAAAATGGTGCCCCTGGAGAATGAAGCGTGTTGCCCATGAGACATTTTACTGATTGCAGAGCATGAGTGTGTGTTTTGTGGTTCAAGATCTTTCAGGTTGAATCAAAGGACTGGCTCTCTGCTTATGGTGGATAATGCTCCTCAGGGAACGTACGAGTTTAAAATCAGAGTGTCAGATGGAATCTGGCCTGACGTTCTAGCAACTGTGCAGATACATGTCAAAGAGATAGAAAACGAAGCCATTCGGAACTCGGCGACCGTACGCCTGGCAGGTTAGTTTTGTTTCGTCGGCTGAGTTTTGATTCCCATCGTGCGTAGAAACATCTCGCCTCTTACTGATCTCAGGGGGCTGAATTCTATTGGCAGAACAGCCTAGTCTGCTGATGGTTTTTTTGTTTTGTTTTTTTTTTAAATTGAGACCTAGGTTTAAGGAAGCTGCCTTGTGCCAACCAGGATAAGGGACCTTATTTAGATAGACAGAAAAACCCATATTTCCTCCTGGGGTCACATACCAGGGGTGGGCAGGGTGCGAGGTGAAGCAACAAATGTCACTTTTTTGCCTTTGCACAGTAGACTATTTGCTACAAGCACTCACTCACCCCTCTGTCCTCCATCCAGGCCAGGAGAAAAGGCCAAGGAGGGAGGGTTGGCAAGGGGTGTGGCCTAGGGAGAGGGGCGTGGCTGGGGAGAGTCCCGAGAGCCAGGTAGAGAGACCTAGAGGGCCGTATTTGGTTTCTGGGGGGCCTGAGGTTCCCCATTTAGGGGCTCTCCATCAATATTTCCCAGCCCTAACTGGAGAGGCCATTGGAGATTGGACCTGAGACTTTCCCATGCATCTGCCCCAGAGCTGTGGGTCCTCACCAAAGATTCCCTTCAGCCGTCTGCTTTCTCTTTACCTAATGTGGCTTTTTTTGTGTGGTAGTTTTGTATAATTTGTAATAATTGAGTTAAAAATAACACAACTTACTGAACAACATGTGCACAGGAATTTGTTGTGAACCACTTCACAAGAGTACTATCAGGAAGCCATTTCCCCCCCATTCTTTGTTGTTTTAACAGGTCTGTGATCGTATAATGTATGAAAGAAAGGCAACTAGCGGGAAGAGCTATTTCGGCAAAGAGAGAGAGAGAGCTTACTTATGTGTTGAGTCTCTGGCATTTCCAGGAATGGCTAGGAGAGACTCTAGTATGAAACCCCCAGAGAGCTGCTGCCAGTTAGTGTATGCAGTACTAAGCTAGGTGGTCTGACTCGGTATAAGGCAGCTTCCTATGTTCCTAGATGTGAAATGGACCTTAGCCAGGTTGCAGTGGAAGCCAGTGAGAGAGCCAGTATGGTGTAATGGTTAGAGCGTTGGGCAAGGAGAGCCTGGTTCAAATCTCCAGGTTGACCCTTTAACCCAGGGGTCAGCAAACCTTTTCAGCAGGGGGCCGGTCCACTGTCCCTCAGACCTTGGGGGAGGGGGGCTGGACTATATTTTGAAGGGAAAAAATGAACAAATTCCTATGCCCCACAAATAACCCAGAGATGCATTTTAAATAAAAGGACACATTCTACTCATGTAAAAACACGCTGATTCCCGGACCGTCTGTGGGCCGGATTTAGAAGGTGATTGGGCCGGATCTGGCCCCTGGCCCTTAGTTTGCCCACCCATGCTCTAACCTGTAAGGATAAAATGGGGCTTGGAGGAACCATGTACGTTGCCACGAGTTCCTTGGGGAAAGCGAAGGAAGTGTAAAAATAGCTTTAAATATAGTTGTTTTTATGATATATTTTTATTCTTTTATTGTCCCGTTTTCTGAGGATTGTGTGCACTGTTTAGAAACGGAAACAGGGGTGTGTGTGTGTGTGTGTGTCTCAAATAAACATATATGAAGTAGTTAACTGCATGTCCTGAGACTCTTAGACCAATAAGCTGGTTTTGTTTTTAAACCACCCATCTCCATATCAGACATGACTGCAGAAGAGTTCATAAGGAAGGATGAGCCTGAGGAGAGCAGGCACGACAAGTTTAAGGATCTTCTGGCAGGCATCTTCTCGGTCCGCCTTGAGGACATCGTGGTTTTCAGCGTGACAAATATAGACGGGAGACAGACTGACGTGAGATTTGTGGTTCAAAATGGCTCCTCCTATTACAGGCCAGAGAAACTGCTGGGACAGGTTGCTGCCTTCAAAAGCAAGGTGAGGCTGCAACCCGTCTGCCGTCTGGGCTGATGTGATGTTGGCTGACGTGCAAGTCCTTTCAGGGCGCAAGACAGAATCCCAGTGACTCCAGAGGAAATGTATCGCAACCCAGTGGACTGTCACAGGGCGAAAGGCTTGTCGATGGAGCAAACATATTTTTAAGAGTGGGAAGCTGCCTTGTTCCAGCTCAGACGATTAGTCCATGTAGGGATTGGAAGCTTACAGCCCTCCAGACATTGTTAGAGAACAGCTCCCAACACCCCTGGCCACTGGCCATGCTGGCTGGGGTTGATGGGAGTGGAGATGCCAGGGATTGAATCCAGGGCTTTTCTGCATGTGCTCTACTACAACTGTGTTCTTTCCAAAAGTCACATGGAAGATGGAAGCAGCTTGTTTTTTTGCTGCTCCGGAGGGGAGACATCTGGTATGGAAGCTAAGACCCTACCTGCCCGCAGTCTGCCTCACCAGAGTGGTGCATGCCCTGGTTATCACTTGGACTACTGCAGTGTGGGGCTTTGAAGGTGACTTGGAAACTACAAGTTATCCAGAATGTGGCAGCTAAACTGGTGACTGGGACCACATAACACCTGTCTTGAAAGACCTACATTGGCTCCCAGTATGTTTCCGAGCGCACTTCAAAGTGTTGGTGTTGACCTTTAAAGCCCGAAACGGCCTCAGCCACCCTCCACCCTCATTATTCTGCCCGGACACTGTGGTCCAGCGCCGAGGGCCTTCTGGTGGTTCCCTCGCTGCGAGAAGTAAGATTACAGGGAACCAAGCAGAGGGCCTTCTCGGTAGTGGCGCCCGCCCTGTGGAATGCCCTCCCACCAGATGTCAAGGAAATAAACAACTATCTGATTTTTAGAAGGCAACCCTGTTTAGGGAAGTTTTTATTGTTTGATGTTTTATTGTGTTTTTAATATTCTGTTGGGAGTTGCCCAGAGCTGCTGGGGAAACCCAGCCAGATGGTATAAATATTATTATTATTATTATTACCATTAGATTCTTTTTTAAAAAAAACTTTATTCCAAAACCAAAAAAGAATTACAAACATCAAATTCAAAATCCATATTCATTTTGTAACATAAGCCTATTACATAGTTGACTAAATTAAAATATTTCATTAGATTCAAATTGCAAGAAAGGAGATTTTGACTAAACCTTAGGAAGAACTTTCTCACAGTAAGAGCCATTAGGCAGTGGAATACACTCCCCCCGGAAGATGGCAGATTTTCCTTCACTGGAGGTTTTAAAGCAGGGGTCAGGTGACCATCTGCCAGGGCTTCTTTAGCTGCATCTCCTTCTCTGCAGGGCATTGGGTGGATGGGCCCCTTCCAGCTCTACAAATCTACGATTCTTAAGTGTTGCAATCAGAACGATGAGGACATGTGTTCAGTGACCACAAAAGTTTATGTTGTAGACACAGAAAATGACTGGGAGGATTGGGAAGCCCTTTTTGCTAAGCAGTGTGACGGCTGTTTGTCCCTTTAGATCCAGCTGGCTTTAGGAGTGAACGTTTCTCAGGTTGATGTGGATGAATGCCACAGGACAGACTGCAGCGGCAGCAGCGGGTGCGTGAACTACATCACGGTGAGTGACATCCCCACAGTGATGGACACCGGAAGTGTGTCACTTGTCTCCATAACAACCAGCGTCAGCGCCGTCTGCACCTGTGCAGCTAGAGAGAGAGTCCACCGGTCATGTAGCTCGTACTCTCACAACCCCTGTTTCAATGGAGGAACTTGCATTGACATGCTGAATGGTTACAGGTGAGAAAAGACTCTGTTTCGCACATTCCCCATCCCTCTTGTTTTCCTCTTGTAAGAAGTCAAGCTATAAAACTACTGTGTTAAAAAGGGAGGGGGGAATGTATGGACCTTTTAAGAGGTCCTTGTTTTCTTTTCTTTCTTTCTTTCTTTCTTTCTTTCTTTCTTTAACTTTATTGAACATTTTTAAAACAATTGCCTAACGACATAAAGTCTTGCCTTCCGAGACAAATGCATGTATGTGATGTTCAGTCTTGTATGCAGTCCATCCACATGGCATCAGAACAAAGCTGGGGAACCTTTTATATTTCAGATTAAGCTCACACCCACAGGGTATACTTAAATCTAAAGTGCTAAGATAATTTCTCCATAGTGGCTGCTGTGACTGAGACGGAAGGGAAATTACTGTATTATTGTTAATAAATTATATAAAATGATACAAAGCCTTGTTCTTTAAGCCTTCAGTCCTCTCTGCCCTCCTTCCCTCTCTCCTTCCTCTGTTGTCTTCCTTGTGTCTGTTTTTAGATTGTAAGTCCCTCGGGGCAGGGACCTGCCTCGTCATTCTTTGCAAAGTGCCGTGTATGTGTGAATAGTAATAATGAATGCTTTATAAATAAAAGTTTACTCTTTTGCTTTTGTTTGTTTCAGGTGCCATTGTTCTGCTTCGTTTCATGGACCAGATTGCCAGCAGACAAAGCACAGTTTCCATGGAAATGGCTATGCCTGGTTCCGCCCCATCAGACCTTGCTTTGAGAGCTCCCTCTCCCTCGAGTTTATTACCGATGTTCCAGATGGGCTTTTGCTATACAATGGCCCCCTGTCAGATTCGGGACCTGGGAACTCAGAAAACTTCATTGCAATAGGTATTTGCATTTGATTGGTGGAACCTCACATTGCCCACAGAAACACACAATTACAGGGGTTGCGGGGAGATCATCGCAACAATCCCAAGTGATGTTGCTCATCTGTTTATCACAGCTATTTAGTTCATTCAGACAGGCAGGTTGTATGATGGTAAGCTGTCAAGATTTTTTTTTATTTATTAACTACATTTATATAGGTAAAGGTAAAGGGACCCCTGACCATTAGGTCCAGTCGCGGACGACTCTGGGGTTGCAGCACTCATTTCGCTTTATTCGCCGAGGGAGCCAGCGTACAGCTTCCGGGTCATGTGGCCAGCAGGACTAAGCTGCTTCTGGCAAACCAGAGCAGCGCATGGAAACACCGTTTACCTTCCCGCCGGAGCGGTACCTATTTATCTACTTGCACTTTTGTGTTTTCGAACAGCTAGGTTGGCAGTAGCACGGACCGAGCAACGGGAGCTCACCCCGTTGCAGGGATTTGAACCGCCCACCTTCTGATCGGCAAGCCCTAGGCTCTGTGGTTTAACCCACAGCGCCACCCGCGTCCTATTACATTTATATAGGCTGCCCAATAATATATATTTCCCTGGAGAGGAGGACAGATTCCTACATTGTGTGCCTGCCCCACTTTCCTTACCTTACTACATGTTCCTGGCCAAAAATGGTGTCTGCTTAAAAAAGCAGGGAAAGTTGAACAGAGGAAGGCACCTTTCCACAATTTTGTATGCATCTCCACCCCTGCTGTCCCCAGCAGGAGCACAATTTTCCCCCCTGCTTCTTTGCCAACATGCCCACGCAAACACATATGGAATTTGCAGCTCTTCTAGCAAAATACATGCCCATAACAAACTAATATAAAAAGAGGGTGCAATTCTTTGCCGTCTGGGAGATTATTTAAGGTATTTAAGGACAGGTGTTTTACTTGATAATGATGAAGTGTTGCTAGGCAGTATCTTGGATTGTTTTTGAAGAGCTGAACCACATTTAAATCCCCCACAGACAAAATAGTATAAAAATGCACATTTGTTAGCCATGAATGTTGTATACAGTGATACCTTGGTACTTGAATGACTTGGCTCCTGAACAAATCGGCTCCTGAACGCTACAAACCTGGAAGTAAGTGTTCCAGTTTGTGAACTTTTTTTGGAAGCCGAACGTCCAACGTGGCTTCCAATTGAGTGCAGTAAGCTCCTGCAGCCAGTCGGAAGCTGTGCCTTGATTTTCGAGAACCAAGGTACTGCTGTACTGTGCCATAGAAGCAGGCATGGATGGAAGAGTCCAGTGCCAGTCCATGTCATATTTCCATATGTTCCAGGTCTATTCTCTCCTCTTTCTACACTTTTCTGTGATTTTTTTTTTGAACGGCAGAAAATAATCTCTTTTTTGTTACGCGTCTTACCCTAAAACACACATTTTAATTTGAAATGCACATTTGTACACATTTTAAGCTAAAATAGGGATTTTATATGCCTTTGGGTACCTTTTTATTGCAAAAGGCAGTCCCAGCACCACAATGCTGCTTGTTGACATTAAACCTTAGCTTATTTTAACTATGGTTTACTGGGACATGTGAGCCAGGCCACTGTTCCTTTGGTATGAGATACAGATTTTTGAGGGGTGGGGTGGCGTGACAAATCTGTACTTGTTTAGCACATGCACTTTAGCAGGAATGCTTATGTTCCCTAATGGTACGCCAGTCCTTTCAAAAAAGACAATGGTTGCATTTGCACATCATGGCAAACCATAGTGAATGGTTTGCTGTTAATGTGCAAAAGGCTCCCAGTTGGCTCCTCCCCAAACAAAACCGGGTGCAACAAACCATGAACCCTGACTGAGCGTTGCATCCAACCTGAGGATTGGAATTTGTTTTGCTTCAAACTAACCATGATGGTGCTTCTTGGTCATGGTTTGTTTGAGTGAAACAAACCGCAACTCCCAGTTCTGCTGTATCTATGAGCAATGTGGTTTATTCTCCCTGTTTGTGTTAGGGGAGAAGCGAAGCGGAAGCAATCTCCCGAGTTCACGGTAACTGGTTCACGGTGACATGCGAGCAGGGCCACTGAATGATGTAGCGATGGGTGTTTTTAGTGCTTTCTGAGTGTGGCTTCTGGCTCATCTCTTGAGTTGAAGTCATCAAAGGGAAAGCGAAGCAGACCTTCTGTCAAAAAGATCCCACTGGGAAGCATCTATGGCTTTGAGTATTTCAAATTATTTTGAGGCAGGTTATTGCATGATTAATGAAGCCTTACTTCTTCATGTTATTTTCACATGGCTTGGTGGAAATAGCAAATCTATTTTTGGGAAGGGGAAGATTGAATGAAAACTATAGTCACTTTCCCTTTTCTTTTCATAGTATTGTTAGGGTGCTTCCAGATGCCCCATTTATTGAGAATTCATCCTGGTTTGGTTGCAGGGATGTTAGATGATGTTGGCTATATTTAATGAGCGTTCACTGGGATGTATTTGCAAGGAGGTTAGATGATGTTGCATGAAAGCAAGCGTTTTCCTCGCACTTTCAGTTGCTTCAGTCACTTCCTTTGTTGAAAGAAGGCTGATCTTTTGGGGGGTAAGACCACCCAACCAGCTATCCATAAAAGCACCTCCTGTGGAGCAGTGGGTCAGTGCATCTGGCTGTTAACCAGAAGTTGATGGTTTGAGGCAACCCAGGAATAGCTGTGGGCAGGTTTTCGGGGGGGGGGGGTTGGGGTCTCTTCCGATTCTACACAGTTCTATGATTCTGTTCTTGTGAAACCTGAATTTGCTTGTATGTGATTGAACCCCACCCTAAAAATAACAGCAATCTGGTCACACCCTAAGTCGAAGTATGTAGGGTGTGACGGAATGTTTTATGTTGCCCCCGTCTCTCATATTACAGTTGTTGTCTCACAAGTGGCAGTGTTGAGCATCCAAATGGGAGGAGGCAAATTTGGGAACAACCCTGCAATCCTAACTCCCCCCTTAACTTGAGAGTAAGCCTCATTGAATTCAGTCTGACTTACTTCTAGGTTTTTGGATTGTGCTATAAGTCTCTACACTGGGAGGGGAGGACCTCAGCCTCCCTCCTGTGTCTAACAGCAGCTTGGAGGGAGGGATTTTAATTGGGAGTTTGGAATCATGACTTCTGGACTCTGTGCTTTCCACTGAGCCTGAATAAGGATAGAATAAGATCTGAATAAGATCTAGCTTTTACTCACAAGTAGCAGCCCCTGTCGTGTTTTGGAAGGGAACAGGACACAGAAGGAAGGGAACAGAAGGAATCCCAGATTTACTATTTCTTAAAAGAAAGGTTCTTGCAACTGCAAGTGACACATTTTGGCCCTGATTCAGGGGCTTAGAGTCAATGCAAACTGCCTCCTTGCTTCCGTCCCATGGCCATCATGGGTCCCAATCCAACTCTGCGCTTTTCTTTCTCCTTCATCATAGAGCTTTCCGGCGGGACTCCAGTGCTGAAAGTCAACCATGGCCTGGGCCCTGTGGAACTCCACCTGCCGAGTTATGTGAACCTCACAGACAAAAGGTGGCACCGTCTCGAAGTGAGAAGCAGCCGGCAGGTGAGTTGCCCTGATGCATTTGGGGGCTCCTGGTTTATACAAGGAATGCACCAGGAAAGAAAAGGAAGAATGGAGAAGCCCATTAACGCAGCCAGAAATTATTTTAATTGATTTATGCAGACTTGGTGTACATTGCAAATATTGGAATTATTATAATTATTTTAGACTCATAGACTTGTAGAGTTGGAAAGGATCCCAAGGACCATTTAGTCCAACCATGTGCAATACAGGAATCCAACTAAAGTATCCTTGACCAGTAGCCATCCAACCTCCGTTTATAAACTTCCAATGAAGGAGAGTCCACCACCTTCCGAGGGAGTCCGTTCCACTGCTGAACAGCTCTTGCCACATTTATATCCCAATTTTGTTCCTAGGAGCTCAGGGCAGGGTTATTCCTCCTGCCTCACAACGATCCTATGAGGTAGGTAAAGCTGAGAGGAAGTGACTGGCCCAAGATGATGCCCCTGACTGAGCTAGATGGACCCCCTTTGGCCTGATTCTGCAGGCTCTTAACCATTCTGAGTGTGAAGGATGCCCAACTGCAATCGGTATATCTATACCTGGATTCTGTGGCTATTGCTTTGTTGACGTTCTGTAGGCTTGTCGCTTTTATTTTCATTTCCTCCTGTTACGTCTCGTTTTCCAGTTTCATCTTCGAAGAGCCTGAGGCGGCACATGAGAATCTTTCAATTTTCTTTCCATTTCTTTTCCCCCCTTGGCACAGGATGTTCGATTCACCGTGGATCACTGTGGAGCTGCAGTTGTGTCAGAGATAGAAGGGGTAGGAAAATGGTTGTCGACCGAAGACCGAACAAACTGTGAGGTTGTGGCCTTTGTTCCACAGTCAAGAAGGTAGTCTTTACATTACTTTCCAAAATTGGAATATCTAGGTCTTTATCTTTATATCTATAAAAGTACTTGTCAAGATGAAGGCAGAGGTTCACTGAATCACTTCACTAAAATCATTTACAGGTGCTTCTGTAGATTTAATCCTTCCTGTGCAGAATTAGGCACATGGAGCCCTACTGGATTTTGTGCAGTTTCAGGTTACTTGACCGCCATCCTGTGCAGGTGAACTTGGAAATAAGCCCCTAGGAGCACAGGGCGATGCCATTCTGTGTAGTGAAGCTGCAGACATTCAGGAGGGAGGGCTTGTGAAGGGCAGCACTGTTCCTTGAATTCCCAGAATCAGAAGAGGGCTATTGATGGCTACTAGCCATGATGACTATGCTTTGCTTCCACAACCAGAGGCAGCAGTGCTTCTGAATACCAGTTGCTGGAAGCCAAAAGAGGGGTGAGTTCTCTTGTGCTCATGTCCAGGTTGCAGGTTTCCATAGGCATCCAGATGGTTGCTGTGAGAACAGGATGCTGAACTATTGGCCGGATTCAGTGGGGCTCTTGTATGAACCACACACCTGATTACAGCAGAGCAGATAGGGCTGGGTTCACCCTGATCCTGCTAAGTCACTGCTATGTCTCCTTTCTCCTGCACCAGAGCTCCACGACAGTCTACCTTAGGGCAGGGGGAAGGCAGCGGTGGTGGTGGCTGTATCAGTACTTTGTTGCTGGAGAGGCCTCTAAGCCACACCCTTCCTCCCCAGGAAGAAGGTGATGCTGCACATGCTGTTCCTGCTGAGATAGGAGGGCCTCTTCAGCAGGAACAATAGAATGAAACAATACTGCAAAGGGAGATGTGGCTTCAGGTTCTGGTAGCATCCACGTAAGTGGGAAAAGGCACTTGTAGCTGCTGCCCCTTCTGTTTCCCCCTTACCTGCCCAAAGGTAACTTTCCTTGTCATCAGGCAAGGGAAGGGGAAGGCTGCATTACTTCTTAAGCACCTGTGAGGGATGTGATGTGCTCATTTGGATCATGTGCACCCCACTGTGGCTTTTGTGCTGATTTCCTTGGAATGGCACACAAAGCCCTACTCTCCGTTAGAGTGAACAAAGGGATGCTCATCGAGTTCTGAATAAACACGAATAGGACCAGGCTATGCTGCCGCTTTTCCAACATAGAGACGCAACATGTTCGTCAATTACTGAGCACATTTGCAATGTCTTTCCTGCTATCAGTTAACTCCTTCTGACTGCAAGACGCTTTTGACTCAGGGGAGTTATTTCCTTGCAATAGGAATAACAGCTTCCATTATTTGGGGAGCATTTTAAAAACAACAACAACCACCTGGTGCTTGGTGTACCCACTCTGTGCTATTGTCTGTGTATATTTAGTGGCATGATAATACTAACATTCATCTCTTATTTAGCACATCTGTGTTTTGAAGGTACTTGAATATGAACCAGGTCCTCCAGTTGGGCGGAGTAAAAGAATCGGTTCCATATTCGTACCCCCAGTTGCGGCACAAACATTTTACCGGCTGTATCCGGAGTCTTGTTTTGGACACTCACGTAAGTGGCATCACTGGCATCCGTCTCAAGAGAAAATGGAGTGCACCTCTGGTGGGGGTAGGGGAATCAAGCTGCTGTGTTAACAGCACCAAAGTGACCTCCCCAGAGTGCAAGCCTGGGCAGTGAGCATGGAGCTCCTGGGCTGCCCAGATGACAAGACCCCACTCTCAGTCTCACTGATGTGGTCCAGAGGAAAGCAGACCGATATATTTGGCACCAGCTTGGCTGCAGGAGTTGCTGGAAGGAGGTGTACAAGGTGCCATCCAACTGCCTTAGGGACTCCCCTCTGGAGTTCACTTCTTAGCCTTTTCTTCTCCCACAAGGCAGCAGAGGTCTAGGACCAGAGGTTTCCTTCTCCTAGATTGGCTACCTCCCCAGATTGATGAGCCTCATCTGCCCCTCACTTCTGTCTACACCACTTCCCTCTATTGCATGTGCAGAATCATAGAAAAATAGAATTTTAGAGTTGGAGGCGACTTTCCCCATACCTGCTACTTGAACCTTTGAATTGGTGATGCCGCCAGTAATTGAATCTGGAGTCTTCTGCATGCCAAGCAGGCACCCTGCCCTTGATCTATGGGACAAAATTTAGGGGTCCTTCTGTGCAGAGTAGAAGGAAGCATTTTCAGCCCCCAGTGGTGGGGTGGGAAGACTGGAAAAACTAATTTCGTGTGTCCGCGCGTGTGCACACGCATGTGTGCTTCAGTGTGTACGTTGCACATGTAGGTGTGAGTGTTTGATTGCATGTGAGACTGGGGGAAAGGTCTTTCCTGACTGAGCTACCTAGGCTGTTTACCGTATTTTTCGCTCTATAAGATGCACCAGACCACAAGACGCACCTAGTTTTTGGAGGAGGAAAACAAGAAAAAAATTATTCTGAATCTCAGAAGCCAGAACAGCAAGAGGGATAGCTGCGCAGTGAAAGCAGCAATCCCTCTTGCTGTTCTGGCTTCTGGGATAGTTGCGCAGCCTGTATTCGCTCTATAAGACGCACACACATTTCCCCTTACTTTTTAGGAGGGAAAAAGTGAGTCTTATAGAGCAAAAAATACGGTAATTGTTTCATTGGAGTTTGTTTTTTTGTTTTTCATAAGTGATAGTGCTGTCGCTGGTTGAGCGGCTATCTAATTCACTGGGGGCAAGGCTATTTTTGGTGTTCTTTTATTCCCGGAGGAGCTAAGAATCGTAAATCAGCTTCAAAGGGAATCCAATACCTGCCTCTCCAGCGTCCTCGGCGTTTATCTACACAGGTTTTAAACTTTATTCCAAGGCTTAAAAATATCTTTTTAACCTTTTAAACTTTTGGAAGTTCTTACCACTGCTTAACACAACTGCTCATTATTGCTTGCCAACAAACAAAACCCACTTTGTTTGATTGACTGCTTGCTTGCTCAAGAAAAGGTGGGGAGCAAGCTTGAGGAGACGCTAGCAGATAGTGCTGTCGCTCGTATCATATATTTTGTAAAAGTGGTTACCCGAGTTCAGTCACTGCACATGCAAGCAGATAAAGCATGTGAGACTGTATATCTGGTGTGTGTGTGTGTGTGGCCTGAGGGTTGCCTGACCATCAGTGTTGCTCTTGCAACCAAAAGGGTTTGCCACCCCTCTTTTAGAGGCTGTAACTACATATAGTACTTGTGACACTAGGGATTTGGTAGCTAGTGTGTTCAAAATGCAGGGAAGTTATATTTTCCTGGGAAGGCGGGAAGCCAGAAGTCCATTTCAAAGTTCCTCCTTTTGCAAGCAGCCTTGATGCTTTTTCCTTTTTTGTTTAAAGGTGTATGACCTTGAGTCTCCAGCGGAGTCTCTGAATAGTTCTCCTGGCTGCACCTGGACAGACGGCAGCTGTGAAAAGATGGGCTCCTCTCCCTGTGGCCTCCATGGGCAATGCCTTGGCGAGTGGGACTCGTTTACCTGCCACTGCCTGCCAGGTTACTATGGCTCCAAATGTGACAAAGGTAAAGTCATCTTCATGCATTGTTCGGATAGCGCAGTGTATGTTTTGCAGTGCATGCAGCTGGGTTTCCTTGTAGCTGATACAACAATGGCCATTGACTAGGGAAAGGGACTCTAGGGTCCTACAAGGTCCTGCACTGCCCCCAATCCTTCACACCATACTCCCGTCACCATGGTTAGGCATTATGACTGGCCACCATGAGCCATGGTTAAAATTGGGGCGGGAAACTTTTGGTCCTCCATATGCTGCTGGACGCGGGTGGCCCTGTAGGTTAAACCACAGAGCCTAGGGCTTGCCGATCAGAAGGTCGGCGGTTCGAATCCCTGCGACAGGGTGAGCTCCCGTTGCTCGGTCCCTGCTCCTGCCAACCTAGCAGTTCGAAAGCATGTCAAAGTGCAAGTAGATAAATGGGTACCACTCCGGCGGGAAGGTAAACGGCGTTTCCGTGCACTGCTCTGGTTCGCCAGAAGCAGCTTAGTCATGCTGGGCACATGACCCGGAAGCTGTACGCTGGCTCCCTCGGCCAGTAAAGCGAGATGAGCGCCGCAACCCCAGAGTCGGCCACGACTGGACCTAACGCTCAGGGGTCCCTTTACCCTTTACCTTTATGCTGCTGGACTATGACTTCTCTCAACCCTAGGAGCCCACTGGCTGTGACAGTGGGCATGTTCTTAACAGATTTTGGAACCTGGTGAGACCACTTACTTTCTTTACTGCCTGGGCACTCTGAGTTTTTTCTCTGTGTGGTTTTCTTGGAGCAGCTCTCATGCAGTGGCCATAACGCTGTGCCTGTTTAGCTAGAGGCTGTTTTTGCTTGCTGCAGACAACCAGGCTACTCCCCAATTACAAGTCTGAACTTAATATGTAATGCTGATAAGTCTTTTAGTGATATACTTCAGGGTCCCATTTTCCATTGTGAATGCTGTGTATGTATGTATGTATATATATTTATATCTATATATATGCAAGCACCTTTCTGTTTGTGTGTGTGTATAAGAAAGCACTTTTCCTTCCCCAATTCTTCCAGCTGCTGAAGAATCTTCATTTGGGCCTGGGAGTCACATATGCTATCAGCTTCCCTTCTACATACCTGCCCGTAGAACAGTAGCAGATGCCATGATAAGGATGCGAGAGCCCAACGGTATCATCCTGAGCATGTCTTCCCGCAACAAGGATGAACACATCACCCTGCAGGTAAATGAGGAGTGATGGTCAATGTCAGTTCAGAGTTAATTCTCTTCTGAACCAGCGAGCCATAGATGGAAAAGGTCTCTCTCCTGATGCAGTGTGCTCATCTTTCTTGCTTTAGAATCCACCTGTGCCCTTGATTTTTCCGTTTCCACACACTCCTTTCTAGAGAAATTCAGAACAGCCATACTGTCCCGTATAACGTGAATTTATAGAAATTGCTATGGTTTCTAAAGTACCGTAGAGTCCTCATTATCAAACCTTAGGGCCAATGGACACCTAAATTCCTGCAAGCTGGTTTGCCATCTTATGAGGAAGTGTTAGTGTCAACCGGTCCATAAAGGTGGTGGGGACCAGCAGACGTTTCCGTAGCTGAAGATGTTTTTTTTACTCAGCAGCTGTGATTATAGGGATGGGCTGCTACCCCTTGGCATGTATAGACTTGTTCCACATAGACTTTCTTCATACAATCTTGTACCTGTGTACAAAACTTATGTTGAGGAAATTGAGAGCAGCTGTATTCAGATGTCATGATGCACCATGGTTTGTTGTCATAGGAATGAACAAAGATGAGTATCAGGCTGTCATACGTTCACCACTCTACTCTGGCATGGTCATGATGGGTTAGAAAGCTGCTACTTCCATTTTTTTTTAAATTTACTGTGGCATTCTGTGATTAAACGTATGATAAATGGGTTTACTCTTAGCTGTGATTTGCTTGAAAGACTCCAGCTTCAAACCATGGATGATAAAAGTTTTAATAAACCATCATTAAGGTTAACCACGTTGTAGGATTCAAATGGAATGCTAAGCTGAGGTCAATCAGACTCAGCAACAAATGCTTCCCAACTCCTCATGGCCAAGGCTGGGGTGAGGAGGGGGTGCCCAAGACTTGTTTTCATGGTGTTAAAGCACAGTTTATCTTGATGCCTGAACGTAGCCAATATGAACTGGTCCTCAGTCAGTGGAACTATCAAATTATTCTAATACACTCTGTGCTCCCTCTGCTGATATTGGAAAGTTCATTCCTGTATAATGAGCACTGCAGTTTAGGTGACTATCTCATTAATGGAATAATTTGGATGGTCTCCCCTCTGCATGCTCTGCTAGTAAATGATGGTTTGATGCAGTGGTGCAGGGCTTCTGAGAATGAGGGGACATTTTTGGTAGCTGTTTTGACTGTCCTATTTTGCAGAAAAATATAAGTGAACCCAAGCAAGAGGAGGGCATCACTGAAACCGTTCCCTAGACTTCAGCTGTAGTTACTTGTAGAGCGAGTGAGAATATTTACAGTGATTCACATTTATTTAGTGAGGTGTGTGTGTAAACACTGCTGAATATACAACATTCCTGGGAAGGCACGGAGAATATGCTCAAACTGATAGCATGAACAGGGTTCTTTTTGTACTATGTGTGGTCAACCTACATAGTTTCCAAGTGATGTTGGAGTAGGTACACATGAAGATAGTTTAAATTAGGTAGAAAACCAACAAAGAATCTTGTAGCACCTTAAAGACTAATACATATATCATAATATTAAGCTTTGTTTTTCTTTAAGATACTGTAAGACTCCTTGTTGCCTTTACTGCAGCAGATGAACATGGCTACTTCTCTGGAAATTATTACTCAAGAAGGGGTTGGCGAATGAACCATATGTCTAGGCACTGCTTGGTCAATGTACTTTGTCCAGGCAACAAATTGAATTTTCAAGAAGATGTGTATTTTAACTGCAAATTTGCAGAATGTCTAAGTAGTTCACATTCTTAGACATTTGGGCTGGATCTAGGCACATCAAAAAAAGTTTCAGGAAAACACGTTGTAAAACTCATAATGGGAAATCATGTTGCCGAAGGATCAAACTCTATTGCACCATCTGGTGTCACAGTGTTATAATGCATTTTAAATCCCTCCTTCCAATTTAGCTGAGTTCTTGGTGTTCAGAATCCTCTGCTGATGCCATCAGTTTGTGAATCCTCCATGCTTTCATGTGATTGCACAACTGCAGCTACTGCTGTTATTTTTATTGAATATGACTCTGCTGAATGGCTAGCTTAAAAGCAGTTACACAAAATATAAAGGGGTTGGGAAACCCTATCAAAAGAAAACGCATCTGCCAGTCCAGAAAACATCTGCCCCCCGCCCCCTAAAACAGGCTCCCTATCCTTGCAAGAAATAAATGAACCTTTAGTGCTTTGTGTGTGTTTCCTAGTCAACTCACATTATACAATAACGTGCTATAAGAATGCAATGTCAACCCTGCGGGGAGATCATCCCACTGAACTCATCACGAGAAAGGAATGGGAGCTCTCTAGACTGATTCTGGGTTTGCAGATGTGCAACACACACAGTCGTTTAATTTGTGGAGTTGTTTCCCCTGCCCTTGCTCTCTTCTTCAGAATTACCCAGGGCCTTATTGTATTGCATGCAAAAAAATAAAAAATAAAACAAAATGATTGACACCGATTCCTGGATTTCTGCAAGGTGGTCCAGGGGTTCTTAGCAGTGTCTTACAACCTGGGAGATGGAGCGGCTGCGGTGAGCCTCCCCTCCTACCAAGTGGATAATGGAGAGTGGCATCACGTTTCCCTGGAGAGAAATGAGAACGAGTTCATTCTTCGCCTGGATGGAGGAGGCGGGAAGAGAGAAATCCTGAAGGCAGCCGGTGCCTACAAAGAGATCATAATTGATCCCAACAGCTTGGTGGTTGGCAACACATACCCTGTCAATCAGAGCAGCAGTTTCCAAGGTAAAAAGAAGCCTGCCTGTTATCTTGGATAACTGTCCATCACGGGGACTTAGCTATTAAAAGAGCTATGAGCCGGCAATGGAGCAGTGCTCACAATGCTTTTGTGTTAGCATTTTGCATCCGTTGCTCTTGCTTTTGTTATTTCTGCATGGCTCCGGAGCTGGAGGATTTAAAAGGAATGAAGAGACTTAAGGTGACAGTTTCCCACCCAGCTTCTGGTTATTTTAACTTTTCATTCTGTGGAATCTTAGCTAGTGAATACCTTGTGGAAACTGAGGGAGGCGGGAAGATAAATGTAGAATGATAGCACCCCTGTTTTGCTCTGAACAAAAGTGTATTTTTCTCTGGTGGGAATGCCAGAAACCCAGGTTGGCAGGTTTGTGGAATGGTAGCCCTTGGAGGTTGAAGGGCTTATTGGGAAGGCTGCCTGTTGGTCAGCACCCATAATATTCCGTTAGCCTGATCCAACAGACTCCCCTTACATTTGTGTGTCCCAACAACATTCTCCAAGTAGAGAGGGATGGAGAAATCCAGTTCAGTTCGCATTTTAATGTGAATCGACCTTATTAATTGCACATTCCAAAACAATATTCAAACCAAAGCACGGCCATCCTCCGAAATTTGCACTTCTCCTGATTTTGCAATGCAGTTCTGTGGCCCAGAAGGGGTTGGGTAGGTGGGATCTGACCTGCATCTCAACTTCTCTGACTTCAGCCTGTTGTTAAACGTAGCACATAACTCGGCCTTACAGTGCTGCGACATCTCTTTCAAAAATAGCTCTTGATCAAGAGCTTTCCACATCAAGTCTGTTTTGTATTTTGCCTTAGGATGCATGAAGGATGTCAGATTCAATAACTACAGGCTACCTCTAGATTCTTACCCTAAGGAGCTTGTGCTGAGCGCCCAAGGAGTGAGAAAAGGCTGCCTTTCCGAAGCTTGCAAGAGCAATCCCTGCAGCCAGCAATTCATCTGCATTGACTTGTGGATGATGCATGAGTGCAGGTAACAAATCCCCCTTGGTGAAATCAGAAGGCGGGAGCGGCCTGCCCATCTAGGGCTTGAACAGAAACCCCTCATATTTGGTGGGAAGGGCTAAATATTATTTGAGCAGTAGCCCCTTGTGCTTTCTGATGTGCTGCTCCCAAGGCTCCTCCAACTTGAGCGCAGAATGGGGGGGGCACTATACCTTCTTCTGTTACTCTGGGGCTGCAAAACGGGGGATTTTCAAGCATGCTCCTGATGACTGGCATTTGATTGATCTCCATGTTTTTCGCAACTGCTTTTAGGGTTCCTTCATTCATCTTTTACTCCCACTTTCAAATTGGATCGCCTCCATTGTTGCACCAGTTCAATACGCTGTCCATCTGAGGCATCTGATGAAGTGGTCTCTTGATTTGCAAAAACATGCCAGGATAAATCCATTAGTTTTTAGGGTGCTACTTTCTGCATTTGGGGAGTTTTTTTAAAAAAATATCCCCCCCTTACCACCCAGTAAACATTGCTGGAATGCAGTCCTGTGAACTGGGCCCATTCCAGGAATCCAGCTCAAGAGGATCATCTGTGAGCAAATTTCATTACATTGGAACTGGCTCCTACTGAAGCTGAAATGAGGGTGTGAAATTAATCTGGATTGCGGCACCCTGGAGCTTTGCTTGGGCCAGCAGCGAGGTTAATGCCAAGGAGTTTGATTTGCCTTCTGTGTCTTTCCAGCTGCCCTCCAGGACACATGTTGGTGGAGAATGTCACCGGCCGGCACTGTGTTTACACGGCATGCGCTCAGAGGCCCTGTAACTTTGGCACCTGCATCTCCCAGTCAGCAAGCAAGTTCCGATGCCACTGCCCCGACGGCTACTCCGGCCGCAACTGTGAAATCACACTAGCCATCTTCCACAAAGACGCTGGGCTGAGCTTCAGCTCCATGTTTGCCATCTGCATTTGCTTCCTGGCCCTACTAGGTAGTTATGGCAACTACATCTTGTACTACCTTTGGTAATGAACCATAAGCCGCCTTCTGTGCTGCTCTGGATGCTCGCCATGCCGGCTAGTTGTGAAGACGCCCACTGGATGATGCCTTCACTGTCTTGTCCTTCATTCTCTCTGGCCCATCATCATCATCATCATCATCATCATCATCATCATCGACATTCCTTTCCAGTTGCATCTGCATCTTTATTTGACTCATCCCTGGGAAAGGTCCTTCTCATCTTTTCCACTCTGTTCTTGCTTCGACGTTCCATTGCTGAGAACTGGCTCAGAAGGGACAAAGGGGAAATGAACACTATGACATTGACATTCTGCTTTGCTCTCTTAAGAACAGGCTTCTATAGTGGCTGACAGTGAGTGAAAAGATACCCATAATAACATGATAATGAGGTTCTTTCAAAAGGCAGCGATGGCTTTTAAAGGCTTGGGGTATTGGCGATGGTGATGATTGCAAATGTGCTTCTTCCTCCTGGTGTTCTGGTGTTGCTGCTGCTGGTAGCATGGCTGTCTAAGCTGCTGCTCCATGGAGAGCACAGAGGAGAATTTCTGCTCTCAGACATGTCCCATGGCCAGGGAGGACAAGGTGTGTTAGCCTCAGGGAGGACCCAGTGCATCTCCTTGCACTGGCAGCCGGATCGTTTGCAGACCCTGTCTCTTCCTTCTGACAGGGAGAGTCTTGATGAAGGGTCTGGTGATGGAAAGTGTCCATTTCTTAGGCCTTAGATGTTGCTGCTTTAAGAAAAAAACCCCCAGCTCAAAATGGTCCAAAGATTTATCTAGTCTAGCATCCTGGTTCCCAGACTTGCCAACCAGATGCTTCCAGGAAGCTCACAAGCCAGACTTGAAGACCACAAGTAGAAGGGTCCTGGCTCAGTGCAGAGAATCTGCTTTGCATGCAGAAGGTCCCAGGTGGAATGCCCAGTGGCATCTCCAGGCAGGTCTGGGAGAGAGACCCCCCCCCTCAGAAATCCTGGAGACGCACTGCTAGTTGGTGTCAATAGTATTGAGCTGGATGGACCGAGGGTTTGATTCGGTACAAGGCAGCTTCCTCGGTTGTCCTGCCCCCCCCCCCCCGAGCAACTGGTAATCAGCAACATGCTCTTTAACTGTCATGGACAATAGCCGTTTATAGATGAATCATTCATAAATTTGTCTGCGCCCCTTTTATAAAGCCATTTAAGCTGAGTGGTTCAGGGAGGTGTGTTTCCTAGGGTGCAGTGCAACATGAAACAGATTTCCCAGCCAATGTCCAACGATGCCCCCCGTTTTATTTATATATATTTATTTTATTATTATGCAATTGTTTACGTTGAGTCTGTTATCGTTGTTACTTGCTATGGCACACAGCACCTTCAAATTTGCAAAGTGCTTTTACAATCTTGTTCATCCCAACAAGAACCCCGTGGGATTCACTGCTGTTCTTCTCATTCTGCAAAGGTGGGCCTTAGCTCATGGCAGAGGGTGATAGTCACATCTAGGATTCCTGGCTCCAAAACTAGTGCTCTGTCAACTGGATCACTGATTGAGACAGCCCTGCTGCCAAGGAAATGATGAGTCCGGTTAGGTGGTTTGTATCTTAAAAGCCCCAGGTGAAGCATCTGAGGTCAGAGCGTTAGTCCACATTTACAGTCTTGGTTAATGCAGAACCGCCTCCTGAAATCCCGCATCGCGACACGGGAAGTTTCTGCTAAATTGCGCTTTCCTTCTGCAGCGAAAACTCTTCCCTAATCTCACGTCTTTGCCCAGGGCTCTTTTGAAGTCATCCTCGTGAAATTGCAGCTACTTGGAAAAGTAATTGCTTCCTCTTTTTTGCTGCTGTTTGTTTGTTTGCTGTCACTCATATTTTAGCATTTTTGAATTTCCAATGCATGAATATATTTGCCATGCAAACACGGGACAACAGGTATTTGTAACTAGGTCAGAATTACTTTCCCGAACTGTGGGGAACCTCTGCTCTGTAGGACAACAAGGGAACTGGTAGCAGATGGAAAGCATTTCTGCTCTGAAGTTTAAGCCCCGTGTTTCCATGAGGCCACATTGTGCTGTAATTGGGTTTGGGGAGAACGAGCCCCCATGCTGTGCAACAGGAGGCAGAAAAGGTGTGCTTGGGACAGTGTTAAATATCGCTCACAGCTGCTGCAGCCTTAGTGGGCTGATAGGCTCTTCTCTGATAAAGCTTGTTTATGACGGTTCAATGTAAGCTTCCATTGACTTTGATGCACATTGAAGCTGGCTTCTGGATGTAACACTTTCATCCAGTGGCGCATTCTGACAGGCAGTTACAAGAGGAGTTGCTCCTCTGAGAATTGTGTATTCGGAATACAAGAATGAAAGCATTTTGGAAGAAGCGGAGCTTACATCCAGCATGATATTTCTCTTTTTCACAAAGAGGTTTATTTCTTTGTAGTGAGAAAAGGCCTCCTTTTGTGCTGGGAACAGGAGATTGAAGCCAAATCCTCTCCTTGGGGGACATGGCTGGGTCAGTTAAATACTCTTGAAACTGGGCTAGAGCTCTGTGTGTACGTGGCTCTGTTTACAGGCCACCTTTGTCTGCTGTTTTTAGTACCCTTGATGGTTGCTGTGGGGTGGTAAAAATGGCATTTTGTAGGCTCTTCTGAACTGGCAAAGAGCATGTTTTATTCAGGCCATTTCTTTTCCAAATGTGTGTATCTCCGAATCAGGATGCAACACAGGGTCATAGTAGTGGGCTCCAGTTTCAGACGCTGTATATTTTCACTCACTATCAGTCTTGCAGTCTGAGAATCCTAAGAATGTCCTGCGAACAAAGGGGTGCTTTTTGTTTTAATAATCACTGAATGTTAAAACTTGAGATTACCATTGCACTCAGTTAGCAATTGCATGAGTGGCAGTTTTAAAGAAATAGAGCCCAGTGTGGTTTGGGAACCTGGCAGACCAGGTAGGGGTGTTACCCTTTTTGCCTGCTGCTGTGGTTCTGGTCCAGAATTTTTGAGGGGGGGGCTATTTGAGTAAAAGCTCCCCTTGCATGGGGAATGGGAACTAGTCTTTCAAAGCAAATGGCAGGTGGCAGTGGGTGCGGTGGTAGGGCCCCCAGTCCAGGTCAGGACTATAGCGAAGCCAAAGCCCTCCTGCTCTCTCCACCAGGATTTGACTTACCCTTCCCTGCTCTGTAATTTTAATTTCTAATTGCATGAAGGGCATCTTGCATTCTTTAGCCTTAGAGAACACACACCAATCACCTTTGTCATAGTATACTCTGGATTGCCAGAATGTAAATTTCAATTCAAGTATGTGAGAGGAGTCGCATAGTTAAGAAAAAGCAAACAAACCCTGTGCCTGAATATATATTTTTTTCTAATAAAAATGTGTCATGTGCCTCTTTGTCTATGTCCTGTTCATCACTTCCATTCATTTTCATTGTTGTTTGTTCCATAGACTGTTCCTCATTTTGTGTATTACATGTTTACTCAGAAGTAAGACCCACTGTATTCAATGGGGCTCCCTCCCCCCGGTAAATGTGCATCGATAGGGTTTGGATTTACCACATGCCCCAACAGTGGACAGTTTCAACTTTCAGCATGCAAGGTTGAATCCAGACTAACATCTGGAATGCAAGCAGGAGAAAGAAGGATGAACAGGATTAGGTGAATTGGTGGGCGGGAGGAGCATCAAGCCATAGTTAAAACAAAGCAAGGTTTGTGAGCCAACAGTAAACTATGGCTGGCAGTAAACCAACCATAGATAATCAGTTGGGCAGGATTCCTCCATAACCATAGTTTAACAAACCATAGGTTTGTGTTATATATGAGCTAAGCCACTGTAGACAAGACTGAATCCGATGGATCTGTTGTCTGATGTAGTACCCTTTGTTCCAGGTTCATAGGGTCTTCCCTCCGCAGGGCATTAGCTGGGCACTGCACAAGGACACCCAATTACATGGAGGTCTCATTCTTGTGATCCTCCTTGGGGGAGAAAAATTACATTGGGTCGGGCTTTCCTATGAGCAGGCATTGCTTTGAAGGCTCACATCACATTGGAGGTGAAGGTGGAGGTTGCACAGTGGCTGCTGCCAACCTGTGTAGGAACTGCTGGCATTGACATTGACCCTCCCCACTGACCTCCATTCTTTCCTTCCTCCTCCTCCCTGATGCATCTCTCCTGTTTGGACAAGGCTTTGCCGCCACAAGGACGATACAAGATCAGATGGGCTGCTGCTATCATGTCCAGCAGAGATGGCTTTTATGGACTTGTCATGAGTTGTTTTTCACCATTTGCATTGTCTGTCATCTGCATAGTAGCACTTTGAGAGTGCAAAGTGCTTTGTAATCTTCATGTTATTCACCCTCAGTGACAAACATTACAAGGTAGGCTGTTATTATTCCTGTTTTAACCAAGAGGGATTGAAGGTGTGAGATAATGTACCCAGATGCATCTAGCAATCCTCTGTGCCACCAGTTAGTTTTTAAACTCAATCACTCTTGAATCCATGCTGGTCTTTAATAATACAGCCCTACATATATTTAGCTCTAAGTGCACTCACTTCATGGGATGCTCATCCAAATTAGCATTCCTGGGCTTGCAGGCCAAATGTGGGTGCTTAGCTGCTGCTGCTGCTGCTGCTGTTGCTGCTGATGCACCCCTCCTCTGGCTATTACTCACCTTCTGACTGATTTACTTTTATTAATAGCAATAAATCAAAAGTAGAGCTAAGTCCCTGCTAAAACTAGCTGCACTTATTGGATTGTCTACTTAAAGTTCTGAATCTGTGCATGCTTAAATCAGCAGAATCCCATTGGCTTTGGTAGGATTACTGAGGTGGTGCTTGTTTGAGAGCAGGGATTGGGTCTGTTAGCCTGAGACAAAGTAGTTTCTGGACAAACTTGAACTGGGGTTTAAATGTTGCACCCTCCATGTGAGTTACTTTCAAAGGTGACGTGGCAGAGGGTGGTGGTTTCAGGGATATTTCAGATGTGGCGACCTTCCAGCGCATTAAGTCCTAACTCTCAAAGTTCTCCTTTTTAATGGTGCATTTGGCCTTGATTTCTAAATAAATGCTCTTCGCTTTCTCACCCAGTTCTGCTCAGCGGTGTCTTCCTGTGGACTCGGTGGAAGAGCCACAAAAGCATGAACGGAGGAGTTTACCACGTCACCACCTGCCACGATGACTTGGAGGACATTCGAGAGAACATCCTCAACTATAATGAGGAAGGGGGTGGGGAGCAGGATCAAGTAAGGCTCTTTCTCTGACGGTTGATCTGACGTATGCAAGGAAACTTACACTGGAGGAAAAACCATTGCTGGCTTTGCTTTGATAGTACAGCCTAGACTTTGAAGGGACTGTGAAGGCCATGAAGTCCAACCCTATCTCAATGTACCTACGGCATCCCAGACAGATGGCCATAATGGGGAGGAGAGAGCCCATGGCAGGGGAACCGCCATGTACCAGGCTCACACCGGACAGGGCAGAAGTTATGTAGGGGGCAGCTTTCCCCCCCCCCAGTTAATTTTTGTGCACATGTGTGGTGGTTTTTCTTCCTAAGGGAAGGGGATTCACTAGGCCAGTTCCAGGGACTAGTGTAGTTTTCCCATACTGGTGGGGGTGGACTCTCCTTGGTTGGAGGTTTTTAGGCAGAGGTTGGAGGGTGCTTTAGGGCTTGGACTAAATAACCTGTGGGAGGGAGTCCCTTCCAACTCTAAAATTCTGTAAATAATAATAATAATAATAAATTTTATTTATATCCCGCCCTCCCCAGCCGAAGCCGGGCTCAGGGCGGCTAACAACACTAAAATAGTGCAACATTATAAAAATTAATTAAAATCAAAATTGATGGCAACCATAAACGAAAGTTTTGTAAAGATGGCCTTTGGATCCTGTGGATCAAAGGTCTCCTAGCATGCCCCATTTTTCTCCCTTGCATTGTTGGAACAATGATAGCAGAGTGGAAGTGGCTGCAGAGATGTCTGTGGTTATAATGACTCAAAGGACAGACCTCCCTCTCTGCAGACCGGAGGTCGAGATCCACTCCTGTCCCATGGCCCCTGCTGGAGACCCATAGGATTTTGTCCAAAATTGTTTAATATTATCTTCTCTCCCTTCTGGCACTCAGAAAAGCACATTTCAGTTTTAGCAAATGGGGCATATATCTCCCCTCCACCCCACCAGACCTAACATTTACTCTGTCCTGATTGCAAGTCCTTGCAACGTTTTGTAGAAATGCTCAGTGAATGTTGCTATCTTAGTATTGCCTCAGATAAGGCTGCAATCCTGTGCCAACTTGCCTGTGAGTAAGCCCCATAGAATTCAGTGTAACTTACTTTTGAGTAGACTGTGTATAGACCTGCACTGCAAATGTATTACAGCATCAGTCTCCAAATCATCTGAACCAGAGACATTTCACTAAAACTGCCTGGGAGAAAACATAGTATAAAAAGTCCAGAGAAGTCAGTGAGCTGCAAACATTCTTGTTTGCTTACCTGCCCACACACACCGATGTCAATTAGACCTGCAACTTTTTAATCAATCTGACAAAAAGATGACCCAGTTAATCATGAGGAAGGGAGCAGGTTTTGGAAGGCAAATCAGTATTTTTTTAATACCGTGGAACCTTGGTTCTCAAACGGCTTAGTTGACGAACAGATCGATTCCCGAATACCGCAAACCCGGAAGTGTTCTGGTTTGCAAACGTTTTTCAGAAGCTGAACATTCGGTGCGGCTTCCGCTTGAGTGTAGGAAGCTCCTGCAGCCAATTGGAAGCCGCACCTTGGTTTTCAAATGGTTTCATGAGTCGAACAGACTTCCAGAAGGGATTAAGTCCGAGAACCGAGGTACCACTATAATACCTTTGGGTGGAAGGCCAGGAAATATGCTTAAATAATAATAATATTCATACTCTTCGAAATATATAAAAAAGTAAAAAAATTGTCCAGTAGCACCTTAGAGACCAAGTAAGTTTGTTCTGGGTATAAGCTTTCGTGTGCATGCACACTTCTTCAGATACCATGCACACGAAAGCTTATACCATGAACAAACTTACTTGGTCTCTAAGGTGCTACTGGACAATTTTTTTTTACTTTTTTATATATTTTGACTGCGTCAGACCAACATGGCTACCTACCTGAATTCGTACTCTTGTTGTTATTATGGCTGTCACTATAATTATTAGGAATGTTAAATGGACTTATAACAATTGCTGGTGATAAGCACCGTCTCAGAAGAGGAAGCTCCTCTTCTGTCTTACGCAGGATGTCGCTGGGTGCTGTGGAGCTCAGTTTTCTTTTACTAGCTAATGTGGGAGGCAGGTTGGGACACTGATGGTGGAGGGGAGGACTTTAACTGCCCCTCCTCCCCATGGTGCCAAGAGTAGACATGGACCCTTTGCCCCAACCGCCCAAATTTCAGTCGGGATCATAGTACAGGTAAAAGGTTAAAGCTTGCAAATCTTGCTTGTTAGGCTCCCCTTTTGCATCTGGTGGGCCATGTTGAGAACAGGATGCACAACCCTCGTTGCTTTTCTTCCATTTTTGCTTGGCTGGGATGTGTCCTTGAACTCCTATATTCCCTCTTAGCTGGAGAACAGAAGAGGGGTGGGTCAGTTGTATGTGCATGAGCATGTGTAGAAACTAACTTATTACACAATGGTAAAATATGCATTTATTGCTCCACCCACTTTTGCCTCTAGCCCTGCCCACTGCTGGAATGTGGCCCTCAAAACATTGCCTAGAAGGGAATGTGGCCCTTGGGCTGAAAAATGCTCCCTACCCCTGTCCTAGAAGGACTGTGTCCTAGGATGACGTCTGTGCAAATTCTGCACCCAGAGTAGGATTCTGCCCCACAAAAAAAAAAAAGAATGTACGAGTTTAGTTTGAATTTTACACTTGATATTTCCTACTAGCGGAATGCAAATTTCCTCATTAAAAAACGGAGGAAAAAAAGAAAGTTGAAGGTTTTGATAAATTTCCGTGAACATGTTTTAAACACTTTAAATGGATATTTATCTTCAAGGTGGCACACAGCGAGCTAAGTATACAAATCCTATTAGTGTTTAATAAGATTAACTCCCTCTGCAAATTGTAAAGGGGAAAAATAGGTTTACCCGAGCAGGGGATCTATCTTGAGGAAGCAGGCATTGTTTATCTGACATGTCAGGAGCTTGGTATCTGCTCCTTTCAGAAAGTAGCAAGACGAGCCCAAATGATTCAAGGGTAGTTTGTTTCTACGGCGCAGGGTGGATCTCCACATCCATACTGCGTTGCTGCCTGTGACGAAACTTTTGCATTATCTAGAGAGGCAGAGAGACCATCTATGTCCAATGCCACAGAAGCTAAAATCTTTGCTCCGAAGAAACAGTCATGGCTTCCCTCAAAGAATCCCAGGAAATACAGTTTGTTAAGGCTGCTGAAGATTGTTAGCAGACTGGCTCTTCCCCACACAGAGCTACAGTTCCCAGAGTGGTTTAACAATCAAAGCCTCCTTCCCCGCTCACTGCAAGAAGCTTGTAAAGGTAAAGGTACCCGTGACCATTAGGTCCAGTCGTGGACGACTCTGGGGTTGCAGCGCTCATCTCGCTTTAGTGGCTGAGGGAGCCAGCGTTTGTCCGCAGACAGCTTCTGGGTCATGTGGCCAGCATGACTAAGCAGCTTCTGGCGAACCAGAGCAGCACACAGAACGCCGTTTACCTTCCCGCCAGAGTGGTACCTATTTATCTACTTGCACTTTGACGTGCTTTCGAACTGCTAAGTTGGCAGGAACAGGGACCGAGCAACGGGAGCTTACCCCATCACAGGGATTCAAACCGCTGACCTTCTGATCAGCAAGCCCTATGCTCAGTGGTTTAGACCACAGCGCCACCTGCGTCCCATAGAAGAAGCTTGAGGGTGCAGCAAATGGGGCCGGTGTGCAGGATGGTCACTGGGGCTGAGGTCAGCATGCATCTTCCCTCACCCCATGTTGTAACACCTTTCCAGGAACAGAGAATGAATCCATAAGTTTGTGGCTGGGTGCATGCGACTTAAATGTCCGACGCTGCTGTTGATGTCTTCCTCCTGCAGGATGCTTACAACATGGCGGAGCTCCAGATGTCCCTTCAAACCAGCCCAGCCTACTCCCTTTACAAGAAGAAAGGAAAGCGGGCAGAGCTGCAGAGTCCCGTGAGCTGCGACCTCCCAGCCAGTCCAAAGGAGCAGCTGGAAGCCCTTTCCACAGGACTGGGCTCCTCCTTCTCCAGCATCGACTTTGGGTGCTACCTTTCAGGGGTGGTTAGAAACATGGACCAGCTGCACCACGCCCTGCCCTGCGATTCCTTGCAAGTCTTTTACACGGAAGGAGAGTGTTCAGAAGCCAGCAGCCTAAGTTCCCTGGGCTCCGGTGGATGGGAGGAAGATACAGCCTACGGGGATATGAAAGAGTGGGGGCCGAAGTTTGAAAATCTCAGCAAACTCTATTCTCAAGCAGAGTCCGATGATGGTTAGGCTGCTGAACTCATCTTTGCACAATGCTTGAAGGTCCCTTGTGGTGTTCTGGGGTTTTTGGGAGGCGGGGCGGGTAAAGGTACTTTTAACATTTGATAAAGTCAATCTCTACTGAGATACTTTAAAGGCACGGCTAAGATGGAGACCAGGTAGCCCAAAAAGGGCTTTGATTTTGGATTGGCTGTTTCTTTGGACACCCCCCCCCCCAAAAGAAAAAGACATAATATACATAGATCATTGTCTTTTGAAGGTTGAGAAAGAAAGGACAGAATTAAGCTTAGAGTTGGAGGCAACCAAAGAACCATTGCAGAAAGATAAAAATGTAAAGAAACAACATCTGTATTGGTTGCAAGAACAGGTGCTTTGTCCCTATAGCTTTTTCCATCTTCATAGTTGGAAGCAGGAGACTGTCTCAACACTTTGCAGGGGCTGATACCTGGCCTGAGTCTTGTGCACCTCTTGCAATAAGTTGTAAAATCTGTACTTTGTGGTTTTTAATCAGTGTACCAAGTTGGAATGAAGCTTCTTTCCTTTCAAAATTACTAGAAGAGCCATGCTATGGATTTGGCAATAACAGTCTTTTAACTTGGGTGTGTGTGACTTGTTTTCAATACTCCCAGAAGTCCGTGCCTGTTACTTGGTTAAATTCCTGTGTGCCCTTCCCCAGATTCGGAGGGAACACCAACTTGCACCTGGACATGACACACTGAAATTAGTTTTTTGTGGGTTTTTTACCTTCATAAGACATGGTTTTTGCCACTGAAACAGTCCAGATGAGAAATTGTTCCCCAGAGTTGTTGTTCCATGTGTGGTTCCAAAGACTTCAAAGTAAGGACAGCCATAAACAACCAAATATTGTTGTAGCAGGAGATGGCATATTTGACAGATACAATATTGTGTAACATGAAACCAGTTGTGGACTTCCTGCTAGCTGCTTGGTCTATTACCTCTGGACTTACCTTTGCAATGGGGCATTTTCTTCCCACTTCATAAGCACCCCTAGATTTGCAGAAGTACAAAATCATTTTTTCTTTTCTTTTTTGAGGAGGGTGAAAAAACGTAATGGGGGAGGGAGGCACAATGAGGGCTAAATATGCTCAGTGGCCACAGAATGTTGTCTGCTTGGAAGATGAAGAGGACAGGGTGTGGTGGGAGGCAAGGTAAGGTGGAATGGCTAGCTGGCATCCAAGATAGGCAGACTTCCCTTAGAGAGGAAGGCTGCAGCGCAGCGCAACATCTGTTTGCACGTCCTGCTTGTGGAGCATAGGTAAAGGTAAAGGGACCCCTGACCATTAGGTCCAGTCGTGGCCGACTCTGGGGTTGCAGTGCTCATCTCGCTTTTTTGGCCGAGGGAGCCGGCGTTCAGCTTCCGGGTGAACCAGAGCAGTGCATGGAAATGCCGTTTACCTTCCCACTGGAGCGGTACCTATTTAAGGTGCTAAAGTTGATGGTACCACATCAGATGGCAGATACCGTCTGTGTCCCCCATGTAACCCCCCTCCCGAACCTTAACTACTTCATACAGGTAAAAAAATGAGAGGAGGAGACAGAGAGCTGGCTAGACCCTTTCTTCTTGCTTTGCTAGTTTTCAACGAGAGAGGGAACTAAGAAGCTGCCTTACACTAATTCAATCAATCAATCAATTTCTTTATTCGACCGATAGTCAGAATTAAAACATTACACAATAATTATAAACTATAACATCATAAGTTACATAAGGTACATAAGTAAGGTAGAGCCACAGTACTAGATCTCTCACAGATAACCCACGTCAAAGCATTCAATTATACGTTTCCGACACTTGAGTGCCAGGAAAAGAAATTTAGCCACTGACAAGGTTGTTTTCCCAGAAGACTTATTTAGCAGATATGCTGTCTGCTTTCCTCTTTGTCGGGAACTGAGCTGGGGTAAGTATGGAGTTATAAGATACTGTCTTAAATCGTTGTAGAAGGGACAGCTCAATAAAATGTGCTCTGTGGATTCTACCTCACCCAATGCACAGTGGCATAATCTCTGGTCATATGGGACTCCTCCATATCTTCCCTTCAGGACCGCCGAGTCAAGAACATTCAGCCTAGCCGCAGTAAATAGTCTGCGGTATTCCACGTAGTGGATATCCGCCAGGTAGCGAGCTGGGGCAGCCCGATACAACTGCTCCCCCAGAAACAACCCAGGTTTCACACGGGCTATGTCCTCCTGTCTGGCAATATCCCTTAATCTTTGCGCGATCACCGCCTTTGCGTGGCTATACGTCATGGACTCTATATAAAGGGAGGACAACCCACACTTCTGCACTTCCTCCACTATCTCCCCTTCCCATGGAGATTTAAAGTTATCCCTCAGAATCAAGGGGGCCAAACCCACCGGTCTGAAACAGAGCTTGAGCCATAGCCATAACTTCGCTTTCAGGGCCACATACCTAAAGGCTTGACAACCGGTTTCCAGCCTCATGATCGCACCTGCCACAGAGGGGGATCCTGAGTATGGCCCTGAGGAATTGGGTTTGGATAGATTCCAATTTTTCAAAATCCCTACGTGAGCCCAAGGCAATGCCCACCAGCAGAAGAGGGAGGACTTTCATTTTAAAGAGACGTAAGGCAACATTGACAGTTTGTGCCTGTTTCTTGGAGTACAGGGTTCTAATCATCAGGGCTGCTTTGGATGCGTTCGAGGCTATGTATTCTCTGTGCGCCAGGAAGGACCTATTTGATCTTACAACCTGACCCAGGTACTTGAAGCAACTGACCTGCTCTAAAGGAATACCATTAATTGACCATAAATTAGGTTTCGGTCGAGCAGCAAAGACCATTATTTTGGTCTTGGCATAATTTAATTGGAGCTCGTGTTGGGTCTCATATTCATGAAGAGCTCGAAGCATCCTCCTTAATCCGATGGGGAGGTAGCTAATAGGGCGGCATCGTCCGCATACAGTAGGACATTCAAGGCTCGTCCTGCCAGTTTTGGTGGATGGAAATCAGCATTTGCCATATGCACCACTAGCGAATTTATATAGAAGTTAAACAGAGCAGGGGCAAGCAAACAGCCCTGTCTTACCCCCCTAGTGGTGGCAACCGGGTTGGAGACTAGCCCCTTACTATCTATCCTAATCCTCAAGAGGGTATTTGTATGCAAATTAATAATCAGCAAGAGAAGGCGGCGGTCGATAGATGTCGCTGCCAATTTTGTCCATAGCTGGTTCCTGGGAATTAGATCAAAGGCCTGCTTAAAGTCTATAAAGGCGACGTGGAGGGCTTTTAGGCCATTGCCAGCGTACTTAGTGGCCAAGTGATTTAGGATTAAGATTTGGTCTGTTGTTGATCTTCCGGGCGGAAACCCGCCTGTTCCTCTGCGATGATATTGTTGCTTTCCATCCAGGTCGTTAATTTGTTAAGTAGAAATCTTGAATAGATCTTCCCGATAACATTTAGCAGGCTAATTGGTCTAAAATTGGCCGGGTCTGTGCGCGGCCCTTTCTTGTGAATTAACACAATCAGTGCAGAGTTCCAGCTTGGAGGAAATTGTGCTGTTTTGTTTATATAAGTAAAAAGAGCTGCTAGGGGTGGACACCACCAATCCTTATTGGCTTTAATAACATCTATGGAAATAAGATCGTCTCCGGGTGCCTTGCCCGCCTCAAATTGGCCTATAAGTGTTTCCACTTCAGAGCAGGTAACAGGATCCCACTCTGGCAAGGGGGCCAAATCTAACCTTCCTCCGCTAGCTGCGTGAGCTGCATATAAAACGGAGAAGAAGCTTTCCCAGGTGTCAGCTGAAATTTGGGGTTCTATCCTTGACAACGGTCTACCCAGGTATCTGGAAATTTGGTGCCAAAAGGAGGAGGGATTTCTATTTTCTGCAGCTTTTAGAAGGTTCTTCCAATCATTTCTTTCTGCCGCACGCTTCTTTTCCTTTAATAGTGCTTTATACCTTCTCTTGAGGATCATAAGGTGACTGCTAGGTGCGGAGTCATTTGATGCCCTATATGCCAAGAATTCATTATATAGGTTGTTCTTGAAGTGCCTGCATTCCTCATCAAACCACTTTTTATGAGAGAAATGGTTACTATTCATTACCGGGGTCTTAGCCAACGAAGGTTTTAGCAGTTCTACTAAATTGTCATATATTGGCAGTGGCTCAACTGCCTGGATAAGGGAGTCCCTTGTCTCTTGCAGTTGGTCAGACCAAAGGAGTTCATTTATCCGTTGAGCCATATTGTCGGTCCATTTTAAGGCAGTGGGCCTCATCTGAAGCTGGTTATTTGTAATAGGCACGCAGGAGTAGGTAGCCAATTCTCCATCCAGGGTCAGAGAAAGTTCTAATGGAAAATGGTCACTTTCCAGCCTCGTTACCACCCTAAAGTTGGAAATTTTGGGAATTAGGTCTGCTGATGTCCAAATAAAGTCTATGGTAGAGGCTCGGGAGCCTGACCAGAAAGTAAATTCGGCAGGGTAATCAGAACTGAGAGCTCCGTTTAAAAGGTGAAAATTAAGAGCCATCAAAGTTTGTCTACATTTAAAACCTGCATATGTAGCAACACTGTCTTTAAAATTCCTGGGTAAAAGGTCTGAGGTTAAAATGGGTAGTGAGGGATATTTATTATATTTAGCAAATAATGATTTATCAGAGTGAGACAATCGGCCATTGAAATCTCCTGCAACTAGGAAGGTGGCTTCAGGATATTTCTCTAGGAGAGTTTCAAGAATCTGTTGAATTTCCCTCCATCTTTGGTACACTAATTCAAACCTATTCATGCAAGGGACGTTCTCAGCCTGATCTGGAGGTTCCTGGGGTTGAATGTGGAACATTTCACATGCAAAGCAGATGCCCTCTGAGTTGGTGTTTTTAGATAACGTTGTAAGCAGCCCAGAATGGCTGGGGAAACCCAGCCAGATGGGCGGGGTATAAATAATAAAATTTATTATTATTATTGTCCACACTTATCCTGTGCTTTCTAAGCACAGGTCTGAGATGTTTTTCATTTGCCCCGCTACTTTCCCTAG